GAATACCCTGCTTTTTTTTTCTCGCGATATAAAATATTGCAATATAAATATAACATGTTCCAAAGATTACTACCAAAAGTATAACTGACATAAGCCATTGAACGTTATTTAAGCGTAGAAAATACGAAATTGGACCACAGAAGATTGCCAAACTCCAGAGCATGATGCAAACTACGAGACATCGCAGCTTTGTGACATGTTGCAGATGAAATATCGGATGAACAATGGATAAATAGCGTTCGATATTCATCACAAAAAAAGTAAAGAGGGACATTCCAAATAAAAAAACGGTTGCTACATAATAAAAAGACTTGTATCTACATTTTGCCTTTCCAATAATTTCTGCAACTGACATTACCAAGTGCGCGGGATGGATAATCAGTGTAACCAATAGATCGATTGACGATAAAAGCATGATCATAAAGTAGGAAACTTTGTATCGTAATCTTGGTGTTTTCCAGAACACGTAAACAACAAGAGCGTTGAGAAATGAACCAACAAAGCAAAGAACGAGGCTTACAATACAACCAATAACACTGTTAATGATATAAGACGTTGTCGGTTTTGTCACAATGTACGATCTGTAACAATCTTCAACTTCACCTTCGTCTTCGCTGACATTAAACATTTTGAATGCGAGCTACTCACAGGTCAACAGCGGTGAATGAGAGAGAGAGAGCTCTGATGAACAAGTTTTGTTTTCGTAGTTATATTTTTGGAAAGCTTCCGTATTATTATTATTATTACTTCCGACCTTGTGCAACAGGTACAGCGAGAATAAACAAAAAACGTCCGGCAGGAGGAAATTTGAGAAGCTTTGTTCTCGCGTATAACTCATGACAAGCCTCGTGACACGCATCGTTTTTATTATTACTATTATCTATACACGTTGATGGTTCCGTGTTGAACCACTTGGGTGGAGCCGGAGAGCAAGTGTATAGGTGGGTAAATACGGTTGTCATATACCTCGTACCGATATTGATCTACTAAGCTGCGTTGACGAGCCGAAACATGCGTTGTATGAACGCATAAAATCATGGCTTGTTCAGACTTCCGTCGTTTCATGTATTTGACTTCCTTAGTACCCGCCTACCTGCTTTCTAAGTATATTACACGGTCTTGTGACCAGTACACAATCTATAATAATGCTATTTCAAATTAAACCTTCACTAAAGCCCGTTTTCCACTGGGCGAATTTATTCGCCGGAGAGCAAGTGTATATAGGTGGGTAAATATACGGTAGTCATGCATATATCCCGTGCCGGTATATATATATAGATCTACTAAGCTGCGTTGACGAGGCGTTGCATGAACGCCGAAACACGCGTTGCATGAACGCCTAAAATCATTAACTTGTTCAGACTTCCGCCGTTTCATGTATTTGACTTCCTTAGTATCGCCTACCTGCTTTCTATGTATATTACACGGTCTCGTGACCAGTACACAATCTATAATAATGCTATTTTAAATGAAACCTTCACTAAAGCCCGTTTTCCACGGGGCGAATTTATTCGCGCGAACATGCAGATAAAAAGTGGGAAGCGGTTCTACTCCTTTCGCGGCGAATTTTTTCGCAAACCAATCACATCACTGGATTACAGATATCGCTTCGCGTCGCGCGAATAAATTCGCCTAGTAGAAAACAAGCTTAACTATATATTGTGTTAATATGTACAGTTTGAGAAATTATTGATTCAGCCCTAATGCATCCGATATCTTTAAATATATACTTCACTAATTTATATTTTACCTATATTCTTTCTTGTGAACGTAACATTTATATTTACAGCAGGCCCTATCAGGCAAGTGTTTATATCCTGTATATCGTCATGCATATGTATATATTTCACCGTCCCGTGATTTACTTAAAGAGTTTAAAATCTTTATGTTAAATAACCTTCAATTAATATATGTTTGTAAATTACCTAAAACATATGTATACAGTCAACATGGTATCTTTTATACTTGCGGTTTAGAAAAATTGATAACACTTCTGTGCTGTCAATCATCCTGGTGCGACATCATTAAATACATTTTATATTCATTGATACAGGGATTTTTTTTTCATTCTCTAATCCATTCTATCAACCTGGTTATTGCTATAGTGTGAAAATATGTTGTATTTCATTTGATCGAGCAGTCTGTTAGGTACAGCGTCAGGTATTGCATGGTCAACGTCTGCAAATACGTTTGCAAACTTTCCATCCTTCTTTCCTCAACCTCTTATTTGCCCAGAAAAAGATCAGACAATTGGCCGTAGAGTTGAATAGTAGGAGAGTAACTGACCATTGTTTAGCTTGTACGAAGCCATTGATCGTCTTAATATTATCATGAAATATTGCGAGAAATATTGCGTTCGGAAGATTTAAGACGAAAGTACAAAGCACAACCAAAAAGCACAGCTTTGCAAGTTGTAAATCATGAAGGAATGATACTGTTTTGCTTGACTTCTCTGAATTTTCTCCTTCTTGATCATGTTTCTAGATCTGGTTGTTAGAAGCGGAGCCAGAATGATCTTGTCTCAAAATGTTATGAAGATTCTCCATTGAACGTGTTTCAGTTTCGGAATTCACACAAATTCATATTTTTGGAGCCACTGGTAGTGGATGCATTTGGGGCTTTTTCCTGCCTTCTCTTGCTATTTCGAATATTCAGCTTTTTAAAATTGCTTGGCTGTTTTACTTTGGCTTATTTCATAATTTCAAGTCTAATAGCATGCATTAAGCTTCATGATACTATAATAAACCTGCACGGTAAGTGTTTAAAAAAGCGAATGAATATTATGATGAAGTTGCTTCCCATCTCACTAGCTATTTTGTCCTACTTTTCTGCAGTGTCGAGTGTGGAAATATAAATCTGAGACGGTAACAGTTGCATCTACGTATAGTAGCTACAAGCTACAATTAGGGTGTTTCCAAGAAAAACGTATTATCATTAAACTTTCTAAAAATATAAATAAGTCTCAGTGTGATCTGTTTATCACCAAATATATTGCATATCATGCATGGATTCTTCTTCATTTTAGGCAAACCCCTAGCAATCACAGTGTCAATAATGTGTTGTTCAACGTCTACAAATACGTTTGATACCTTTCAATCCTTCTTTCCTTAACCTCTTATTTGCCCAGAAAAATATCAGAGAATTCACTGTAGAATTCATTACTAAGAGAGAAATTGTCCATTTTTTCGACTGTATGTAGCCATTTACTGTCTTCGGAGTATCATGAAACATTGCAAGAAATATTGCGTTTGGAAGATTTAAGACAAAGGTACAAAGCACAACCAAAAAGTACATCTTTGCAAGTTGTAAATCATGAAGGAATGATACTGTTTTGCTTGACTTCTCTGAATTTTCTCCTTCCTGATCATGTTTCTGGTTGTTAGTAGCGGTACCTGAATCATCTTGTATCTCAATGTTATGAAGATTCCCAATTGAACGTGTTTCAGTTTCGGAATTTATAAAATCCATGTTTCTGGAATCGTTGGTAGTGAATGTATTTGCGTCTTTTTCCTGCTTTCTCTTGCTATTTCGAATACCTTGCTTTTTTTTTCTCGCGATATAAAATATTGCAATGTAAATATAACATGTTCCAAAGATTACCACCAAAAGTATAACTGTCATAACCCATTGAACGTTGTTTAAGCGTAGAAAATACGAAATTGGACCACAGAAGATTGCCAAACACCAGAAAATGATGCAAACTACGAGACATCGCAGCTTTGTGACATGTTGCAAATGAAATACCGGATGAACGATGGATAAATAGCGTTCAATATTCATTACGAAGAAAGTCAGGATGGACATTCCAGAGAAAAAAACGGCTGCTACATAATAAAACGACTTGTATCTACATTTTGCCTTTCCAATAATTTCTGCAACTGACATTACCAAGTGCGCGGAATGGATAATCAGTGTAACCAAGAGGTCGATTGACGATAAAAGCATGATCATAAAATAGGAGACTTTGTATCGTAATCTTGGTGTTTTCCAGAACACGTAAACGACAAGAGCGTTGAGAAATGAACCAACAAAGCAAAGAATAAGGTTTACAATACAACCAATCACACTGTTAATGATATAAGATGTTGTCGGTTTTGTCACAATGTACGATCTGTAACAATCTTCAACTTCACCTTCGTCTTCACTGACATTAAACATTTTGAATGCGAGCTACTCACAGGTCAACAGCGGTGAATGAGAGAGAGAGAGCTCTGATGAACAAGTTTTGTTTTCGTACTTATATTTTTGGAAAGCTTCCGTATATTACTGCTTTCGTAATTCGACCTTGTGTGCTCACCCACGTTCTTTTAAAAACATTCACCACCGGATACAAGTTTTAATATTGCTTGCATGTGATTCATTATTGACCATAACAGCCAATGAGAACGACTTCTAGTACGAATTACCATTCCAAAAAGAACGAGAGGCCAGTTGTGAGTTACGCTAAAACGAGACCAATCAGCTTTTAACAGTCGGAATTTCACAATGCATTTTCAATTTCTAAATTTAGACTGCAAATGCTTTAAACTTTTGTGCAACAGGTCCAGCGAGAATAAACAAATAACTTCAGACAGGAGGAAATTTGAGAAGCTTTGTTCTCGCGTATAACTCATGGCAGGCCTCGTGACAAGCATCGTTCTTATTATTACTATTATCTATACACGTTGATGGTTCCGTGTTGAACCACTTGGGTGGAGCCGGAGAGCAAGTGTGTATAGGTGGGTGAATACGGTAGTCATATATCCCGTGCCGGTATAACTCCCGTATATAGTTCGATACAATTTTCACTTTCTTTTGGCGCTTTCACTTTCTCCCTCTCTCGTCATGCACGTCTCCAAATACTTTCTCAACCGAGAAAACGTTTCAAGTAAAAGCCCTCAAGATGACTTGTATTTCTTATCTGACGTAATTAACAGTGTAAATATTAAGTCGGAATTAACAACATACAAAACCGTTATCAAAAATCACCCGGAATTTATATGCGAGGGAAATTTAGTGGTTGTGAATAATGGTTATGTGAGATATGCTGTAGGTTTTCACAACGTCTTCTTCAAATTTTCAGTTCGTTTTGTTTCGCTTATATGTGCTCGATCAGTAGTGCTTCCGCCAACTCTATGAATTTAACTTCCTTTATTTTGCTTTGAATTTAACTTCCGTTATTTTGCTTTCTATATACGCGCGGTCATATATGCATGTATATATTTCACAGTCTCGTGATTTATTAAAGAGTACATGCACAATAGATATAAGCTTAATTCAATAAATTTGTATATCAAAACACATACATTCGATCAACATTGCATCTTTTACATACGCGGTTAGGATAAATTGACGACACTTTCTGTGCTGTCCATGCATCATCCTGGTGCGACATCTTGAAATATTTGAATTACTGATTTACTGACATATTTCCACTACATATTTAAATACTTGAATTATCAGTTATTATTATATAAGGAATTATAAGAGTAACAGTGCACATTTCCCTCAGTACCAGTGTATATATTGACTGTAGTTAACTTATCGTGAAACGTTATTAAGGACTATGTCGGTCGGGTAATTCAAGCTACTAATTATAGGCTGTTTCGGCACAATATCTTAATTTTAACAAACATCCAGCAGGTACGAGCGTCAGGTATATTGGTCAACGTCTGCAAATACGTTTGCAAACTTTCCATCCTTCTTTCCTCAACCTCTTATTTGCCCAGAAAAAGATCAAACAATTGGCCGTAGAGTTGAATAGTAGGAGAGTAACTGACCATTGTTTACCTTGTATGAAGCTATTGATCGTCTTAGGATTATCATGAAATACTGCGAGAAATATTGCGTCCGGAAGATTTAAGGCAAAGGTACAAAGCACAACCAAAAAGTACATCTTTGCAAGTTGTAAATCATGAAGGAATGATACTGTTTTGCTTGACTTCTCTGAATTTTCTCCTTCTTGATCATCTTTCTGGTTGTTAGTAGCGGTACCTGAATGATCTTGTCTCTCAATGTTATCAAGGTTCTCCATTGAACGTGTTTCAGTTACGGAATTTACACAATCCATGTTTCTGGAATCACTGGTAGTGAGTGTATTTGAGGTTTTTTCCTGCTTTGTCTTGTTCTTTCGAATATTCAGCTTTTTTTTCTTCGCGATATAAAATATTGCAATATAAATATAACATGTTCCAAGGATTACTATCAAAAGTACAACTGTCATAACCCATTGAGTTTTTGAGCGTAGCAAATAAACAACTAGAACACAGAAGATTGCCAAACACCAGAGCATGATGCAAACTACGAGACATCGCAGCTTTGTGACATGTCGCAGATGAAATATCGGATGAACGATGGATAAGTAACGTTCAATATTCATCACAAAGAAAACCAGGACAGACATTCCAACTAAAAGAACGATGGGTGCATAATAAACCAACTTGTAAATACATGTACCTTTTCCAACCATTTCTGCAATCGTCATTGCCAAGTTTGCCGGAAGAACAATCAGGGTAACCAAGAAATCAATCGACGACAAGAGCATGATCATAAAGTAGGAAACTTTTTGTCGTAATCTTGGTGTTTTCCAGAACACGTAAACAACAAGAGCGTTGAGAAATGAACCAGCAAAGAAAATAATGAGATTCACAACACAACGGATCGCACTGTTAACGATATAAGACGTTGTCGGTCTCGTCACAATGTAACTTCTGAGGCAATCTTCAACTTCTCTTTCATCGGTGGTATTGCTCACGTTAAACATTTCTTATGTTATTTCTTTTGGCTGGATAATAAATAGACGAGGACGTTTATTCTAGTACGTCGTATTTACAAGGTTTCAAAACTTTTGAACTTCCGCGTTTCGTATAGAATATATAACCTGCTGGGTGTTGCCCGCCCGCCCACCGCACGCATTTTTCTTACGCTGGTCAAAATTTTCGTTGTCGAATATGAGACAGCGGGTTATTCCCCCTCCCGTGATTTCCTAGAAACATTAGCATATTTCCAAGTGAACCGATAATACGTTAAAAACCAATGTGTTTATTGTGCTTTGTGATTGTGCTTAATTATGCTATGTCAGCTCTAACATGCGTAACAAGCACCTAAATGCCAGAAAGCAGATTCTGGTCCAATTTTTTAGTAAAAAGCCTAAGAATAATGATTTCAAAAAGGGCATTTATAAATGCGAAACTGCTTTCTTTTTCACGCCAATCCCTGTTAGTTTCAACCATAACTATGTTTCATGAGTATATTTCTGTCCCATACACCTGCGAAATACTGCAGTCATATGTAAACACGTAGGCTACAGCGTTTAATATATAACATTGAATATATATTTTGTCATTTATTTCATGAACAAAACAAAACTACGTCCACGCCTAGTCATCGGTTCTTGTAGCAGAAACATGTGTTTTTAAACATCAGACAATAATGTAAATACTAAGCAGCATCCATGCAACAAATGGCGAATGCGCTATTTAATATTTCGTCTGTAAGACACTCAGACATAAACAAGAGCAAAAAAAACATGATTTTCCTTAATTATTCACCGCTTCTGGGTTATATTACGCCACATTATTACATACTGACTACTATAAATAAAAAAATGCTGTAAAAGATTTAAAACTCGAAAGCATTTAAATTTGCGCACTACATTAGTTATTGGATAAAAATAAAGTCAAATAACACCGAACAAACGATAGCATGACTTTCTGACCGACCGGCGACATCGCGGGTGAACGCAGAAATATGCTAACACGAAAAGCCTCAATGCACTGGCATTATATAATCCATAATATAATCCTTTATATTATTAAGTGAAGATTATAAAATGAATATTTTATCCTAGCACACCTTGTCCCTTCTAAAGAGCACACGAGTGTATTAAAATTTCCCATACCAAAATTTCTCGACAATACAAATGTTATTTAATACTCATTGCATGGTGGTGTCATAAATAGCTTCTATATATAGCTATTCACGGATTATGCATTGAAGCGTGGATGGATAGGTCTCATGAAGATATGAACTGGTATATCCAATTTGTATAATTAAAAGTCCTCGATACTAGACGTCTAGAACTCCAAGTCTCTAACAAATTTGAGCATTTAGCAGCAAGTTGGTCAAGTCTATTATTCAAATTCAATCCTTTTTGATTACGCAAAATACTCCACGCAGTGAATAGTCAAACAAGTCAAGCCAACAACCAATCAGAAAGCTTAAATATTTTGTAAACTTTAGTCAAAAAACAAAAGGACCAATCAAATGGAATCTGCCCCAGATTAGTCAAAACTCAGGCAGATACCGCTTTTTTGATTGGTCTACGCTGGCTCAAGGATTGCATGAGATATAATAACTGGAGTATTTCTGACTGTTAAATAATAATAGGTTATCGTCTAGCGCAGTATGCCGGAATAGTTTAACCGGACGGCTTGAGAGATTACTGTGTTCAGCGTATATTATATTTGGCTATTTTACCCTAGTCACCTGACTAGTTTGACTACCCCTAGATCCGACCCGGCCCGTGTTGGAGGACATCACGAATCTTCAACTTGCATCACGCTACTCATTCGAGCGACTCTCGCAAAGGCATGCATAAATCTGTCGCGTGATTATATTTTTGTCATTCCATTCTATGGAGAGACTTCTATATAGTAATGATAACTTCTGTTTATTCCTAATCCTTTCAAGTGTTAAAATATCAGACCATACAGCAAAGTAAAGAACAAGGTTTACAATACAACAAACGATACTGCATGTTAATGGTATAAGATGTTATTGTGATATTGCTAACGCAAGCTTTTTTAATGTTAGTTTTTCATGTGTATTACGAATTTTTTTGGTAATATAAAATCAATTGGTTAGGGTATATATCTTGTTTGTTTATTACCTTTTCTATAGTTCGATATACAAAAAGAGCTTTTTCCATCCTCTTTCTTGTCAATCTTGAGCATGCAAGAATCCAATCATGTATTTTCTCAAATTCACGAAACTAACAAATACACCTCAAGACATTCACATTTCTCATCTTATACTTGACCGTGTATATATCGAATTAGAAATCATAATTATCTTAGCTTTGTTGAAAATTACCCCGAATCTATATAACGGGGGAAATGAATATATATACGAGCGAATATAATGCGTAATGGTAATGTGAGATGCTAAGAGAAGATTTTCACAATGTTTTCCTGGAATTTTCGGTTTATTTTGTCACTTGTTCCTTTGGCTTGTTCAGACTTCCGCCGTTTCATGTATTTGACTTCCTTATAGCATCTCCTCCAACCTGCTTTCTATGTATATACATGTATATAACCTTCACTAATATGGTGTATATATATATCCTTGACATATTTGAATGATTGATTATTGATCCCGACATATTTTCCACTACATATTTAAAGACTCGAACTATTGATTATTACGAGGAATTATACTAAAGTTCATGAGTACAAGAGTAACAATGCATATTTCCCTCAGTACCAGTGTATATATATTGACTGTAGTTAACTTATCGTGAAACATTGCAAGGACTATGTCGGTCGGGAAATTTAAAGACGAAGCTACGAATTATTGGCTGTTTCGGTACACCCATGCAGCAGCCGGTACAGCGTAAGGCATTTGTCAACGTCTGCAAATACGTTTACAAACTTTCCATCCTTCTTTCCTCAACCTTTTATTTGCCCAGAAAAAGATCAGACAGTTGGCTGTTGAGCTAAAAAGCAAAAGAGTGACTGTCCATTGTTTTGACTGTATGTAGCCATTGACTGTCTTCGGAGTATCATGAAATATTGCGAGAAATATTGCGTTCGGAAGATTTAAGGCAAAGGTACAAAGCACAACCAAAAAGTACATCTTTGCAAGTTGTAAATCATGAAGGAATGATACTGTTTTGCTTGACTTCTCTGAATTTTCTCCTTCTTGATCATCTTTCTGGTTGTTAGTAGCGGCACCTGAATGATCTTGTCTCTCAATGTTATCAAGATTCTCCATTGAACGTGTTTCAGTTACGGAATTTACACAATCCATGTTTCTGGAATCACTGGTAGTGAGTGTATTTGGGGTTTTTTCCTGCTTTGTCTTGTTCTTTCGAATATTCAGCTTTCTCTTCTTCGCGATATAAAATATTGCAATGTAAATATAACATGTTCCAAAGATTACTATCAACAGTATAACCGTCATAACCCATTGAACGTTGTTTAAGCGTAGAAAATACGAAATTGGACCACAGAAGATTGCCAAACTCCAGAGCATGATGCAAACTACGAGACATCGCAGCTTTGTGACATATCGCAAATGAAATATCGGATGAACGATGGATAAATAACGTTCAATGTTCATCACAAAGAAAGTCAGGATAGACAATCCAAAGAAAAGAATGATTGGTACATAATAAAACAACTTGTAAATACATGTACCTTTTCCAATCATTTCTGCAATCGTCATTGCCAAGTTCGCCGGAAGAACAATCAGGGTAACGAAGAAATCAAGCGACGACAAGAGCGTGATCATAAAGTAGGAAACCTTTTGTCGTAATTTTGGTGTTTTCCAGAACACGTAAACAACAAGAGCGTTGAGAAATGAGCTAGCAAAGAAAATAATGAGATTCACAACACAACGGATCGCACTGTTAACGATATAAGACGTTGTCGGTCTCGTCACAATGTAAGTTCTGAAGCAATCTTTAACTTCTCTTTCATCGGTGCTATTGCTCACGTTAAACATTTCTTATTTTATTTCTTTTGGCTGGATAAAAGACAAGGAAGTTTATTCTGGTACGTCGTATTTACAACGTTCCACATGATAGCGCAATTTATACTTTTGAACTTCCGTGTTTTTCGCTGTGTATAGAATTTATAACCTGCTGGGTGTTGGAGGACATCTCGAATCTTCAATTTGCATCGTCACGCCATGCTCATCGCTACTCTCTTCGCAAAAGCATGAATCTGTCGCGTGATTATATTTTTATCATTACATTCTGTAAAGAGAGACTTTTATAGCAATTATATCACACGTAAAGAACGAGAAGGTTTAGAAATGAACAAACAAAGCAAAGAACGAGGTTTACAATGCAACGCTAGAATAACACTGCTGACGATAATCATGATATAGCTAAGATGTTGTCGGTTTTGTAATAATGTACGACATGTAACAATCTTCAACTTTTCTTTCATGGGTGATATTGCTCACGTTGAACATTTCTTTATTGATCTTTTATGATTCGATTAATGATAACGAAATTTATTCTTGTAACGTATTTACAATGTTTTGCATGATATCGCAGTTAACACTTCCGTGTTTTTTCGTGTTTAGTATCAGCAGAGAATATAATTACTTCTGGTAGGCTCGAGGATCGAATCTTAAACGTTCTATAATTTGTTCATAAAAGAGAAGAGTGTTCGGACAAAAGAAGATAAATGCAAGAAAGCGATTTTCTTAACTGAAGTGGTACCAGGAAGCTGAACCACCAAAGATATATTGTGCTTCACTTAAAGTGGCTCTTATAAAGCGAAGAAATCATCCACTTATTTTAGTATTTTAGCATGATTTCAAAAAGAGCCTTTAGGCTGTAATTAGCGTTAAAGAGCTATCTATATATAGAAAATCAAAATTTAACTAGGGGGTTCTATCTAGGACTCCCTCCCTCTATCTGATACGCTCCGCGAGCCCTGTGGCTATACATTCCCCATTTCTTAATAAACAGTAGTTCATATGTTTAGTAGCAATACCATTATGTTAGCGATATAGTCGCACGTAAGACCTATCTGGCAGAATATTCTTTCAAAATCCTTTCCATCTGATCAACGTCTGAAGATACGTTTGCAAACTTTCCGTCCTTCTTTCCTTAACCTTTCATTTGCCCAGAAAAATATGAGACAATTGACCGTAGAGTTCATCAAAACAAGGGTTACTGTCCATATTTTCCACTGCACCAAGCTATTGACTTTAGTTAACCTTTCATGGAACATTGCCAAGACTATCGCATTCGGCAGATTCAAGACAAAGCTACTAAATACTACTAAAAGATACATTTTTGCAAGTTGTATATCATGAAGAAATGAAATTGTTTTGCTTGACTTCTCGCTTGCTTGTTTCTCTTCGTTTTCAGGTCTTCTCCCTAATTCCATTGTGTCCGCAGAAGGTGGATCAGTTCTAGGAGATTGCATGTTATTATTTTGACAAGAATCTTCAACCAGGAATATATTCGAGTCTCCCTCTCTCCGTCTTTCCGCGTTAAGAGCTGTTCGTCTTCTCTTTCTCGCGATATAAAATATAGAAATGTAAATATAACATGTTCCAAGCATCACTATCAGAGCCATAACTGTTATGACGAATTGAACGTTCAAGCTCAGAGGATAAGCAACTGGACCACAGAAGATTGCCAAACTCCAGAACATGATGCAAACTGCGAGACATCGCAACTTTGTGACATGTTGCAGATGAAATATCGGGTGAACGATGGATAAATAGCGTTCAATATTCATTACGAAGAATGTTAGGAAAGACATTCCAGAGAGGACTACGGTGGCTACGTGATAAAACATCTTGTAATTACATCTTGGCCTTCCAGCAATTTCTGCAATCGACATTACCAAGTGCGCCGGATGGAGAATTATTGTAACCAAGAGATCAATTGACGACAAAAGCATGATCATAAAGTAGGAAACTTTGTATCGTAATCTTGGTGTTTTCCAGAACACGTAAACAACAAGAGCGTTGAGAAATGAACCAACAAAGCAAAGAATAAAGTTTACAATACAACCAATGACACTGTTAACAATATAAGACGTTGTCGGTTTTGTCACAATGTACGATCTGTAACAATCTTCAACTTCTCTTTCATCGGTGGTATTGCTAATGTTGAGCATTTCTGTTTCTTGAGTTTTGCGACAGTATAAAATAGACAAGCTCTCAGTGTATTATATTTATGGTGTCTTATTTGTCAATTTATTTCCTTGTTATATGCACAAAACTTCCGGCTTTTTTTATCTTTCATGCACATGTATTTATGCATGTACTTCATCAACCGACAAAACTAACAAATACGCCTCAAGACATTTGCATTTCTCATCCAACTTGACAGTGTAAATACCGAGTTGGAATTAATAACTATACAGTACCGTAATTAAAGGTAAATTTGAGTAGACACTAATAATGGTTATGTAAAATGAAGTATGCGTTATAACGTCTCTCTTCTTGAATTTTCGTTGTTTTTTCAATTGCTCCTAATATGGGCTCGTTTAGTGCTTCCGCCGGCTTTGTCATGGCTTCGACTTCCTTCAGTTATTTTCTTCTAACCGGTTTCTATAGCTGTATACTTTTTGCGGCCTCGTGACTTATTTGAAGGATGCACAATCTATATGCTAATATCCAACCTTTAATATGTTTGTGTATATATTAATACATACAGTCAACATTGCATGTACCTTTATACATGCGGTTTGGGTACATCCTGTCCATCATACTGGTGGGACATCTTTAAATATATATTATACTTTATTGATTTACACAGGAGAAATTTTTTCATTTCTATAATCCTATTCTTTCATTTCAAAGTTTGTATATATGCACCTATAGGCATAGCTTTTTATTTGCTGTATATGGACTTATAAATTTAGTTCACCTGTTCTTTTGATACAAGAATAACACTTCAAGGTGCTTATAGGAACGAATTGCAATTTCAAGGATATTTATTATTCATTAAAAATCAATATCATTTCAAGTCTTTAGACTGTATTCGCCATAATTAACACATGCATGATGGCCATATGAAACTATACGTGAAACTGATCAAAAGCCTGTGAAATATCATATTTTATGGGTATTTCTTCGAAGAAACAACGCGTAAATTTATCATTGCAAAATATTCGGCCTATATTAACCCAGACCTCCATCAGTGTAAATTAGTTGTTTTCGCGCGCGCTAGTGAAAACAACAATTAAGGATCTAATAAGTAATAACATTGTTAGAGGAGCCGTATATACAATTTGTATACAAGTGCAATATTTCAATTTATATTGGTATATATTGAAATTTCTGCATTCACGAAACAGTTTTGGAATTTAGAACAAAACTTTATCAGGTATATGTAGTAGCTATAACACGTAAATCATAACTGCTGCATGTATATGGTAACAGAATTTCCATGCATGCAGCAAGGCCTAGAATGTCCTGGCAATTTTCTCACGCACCAACAAGCCCAGATGTATATGCTGAGAATCTCAGCTGATTCATCTGTATACACATAATCTGTATACCGTGATTTCGTATGGATGTACATGCATGCATGCATGCGCGTGATGTATTTTCGCGTAAAAACAATTCATTTGCTTGCATGGAATAAAACTAATTTCTTACCTCGCATGTTCTATATTTATTGGGATTCATAACATACAACAACTAAAGAAAGAAAAGGTTACTTTAGAATATATTTACTACAAGCTTTGAAGGAGAAGAGATGGTAGAAAGGTGAAGCAAAAGGCAAAAACCAGTGCAAGATTTTTTATGCATTTGTAATTGTTTCTTCTTTCATTATTTCACTGTTATTGCTGAGTTCTCATTAAAAAAACGAAGAGGTGATTTCCTTCGGGAAAGCAATTTAAAAAAGGTAAAGTATCTTCTTTGACAACCAGAAGTACGTTTTTGACAACCTAACTGGAGGTCCTTGACTGCCAAGCATGTGCAAGTATATCTTTACTTTCACTCAATAATGCCGGAAATGATCAGTCAAATGCTACCAAACGTCAATTGTCTCGTTTGCAAGAAACATATATTCGTGTAAATTCTTCTACAGGAAGGATAAATTCCTTAGTGTAGCAACAATATATAGTTAGTTTTTAAGAGAAAGAAAAACATACAGTAGCTATCTATACCTTTCGCTTTCTAGACCTCATATTTAAATATTCCCTGTAAAACTCTGGAGTCATTGGACACCACACCTTTCAGAGATAGGAAATAAAATGTGAGAAAAGTGCACAGGCATCTTTCCTAACAAAAGATCTATAAAAAAATCTATATATGACCTATCAATATACGTTCAAGGAAGTGTAGAGAATGGATGATTAGGTTACTCTACCCACCTCAGCACATTGAACTCTTGCTATAAATCCATTGTCTTGAAGTTCCATCCAATTAGCTTCGTAAAGTTTTGGGCCAATCAAGAAATTTAAATCCTGAGACGAGAAAAAATTCAATCGGGATATAAACTACGACACAACGGCATGGTTCTTATCCGACATGACAATTTTTATAAATACGTGCATATTAAAATCAGGTTCAAACGTACCTGGATTTTATCATCTTCTCGAACTAAGGTTGCAGTTAAACCAAGTTTACAATGAGCTTGGATGGCTGAATATGGATTATAGAAAATTAGTATATTCTTAGTATGCAAACAAATAATTTATACAACTGCATGGAATCGGTTTAACGATTCAGTTGGTGGCAGGATCAATTGGATATTCACAATGGTGATCGTGGAGTAACTACGATTCAACAACACAAGGGTTTCACCCTAGGTAGCCCAAAGGTATTTGTGTTTTATCTAAAGCGTCCATTTATATTTAGTTGCCAACCTTATCTTATTATTATACAAATATAGCAATTGGTGTTTACGTCACAGACCACGATATTAAAATTGATGGACGCTTTAGATTAAAACACAAATACCTTTGGGCTACCTAGGGTTTCACCTGCGAGTTTCACACAACCACACAGCCTCATAAATCGGTGATGAGTAAATTTTGCTTATACAAAAGTACCCCTTCGTCGAAATCCATTTTCTACACTTGTTTTTTAATTGGTCTTAATTATGATGCCCGTCATCTTGACGGTACCCACGTGCGTAAACCGCAAAGATTAATAATGATATTTACATATTTTCTACGTACCAGTTAGTACTCTTCGAAATTGCCTTGCAGGTATCGTGTGCACCTCTATACGCATATAGAAAACAATAAATGATGTACTGGATAACATATAGGATCCATTATGATACATATTGACAATCAATTAAAATAATGAAACAATAACCTATTTAAAAAATCGTATCCTATATAAAAACAGCATTAAGAAATATGCAAGATGGGAATGCTAAAATAGTTGTTCCTGTTCTGTTGTTGCCCCGAAGTTGATCTGTTGATTCCCATCCTAAACGTACACTCTATAGCCTTTATCCCGTTTTGACCTTTTCCTGCATCAAGATTACACTGTCCATGCAGATATTGTGCTGTCCTCACTCCTTATATTATCCCTTCCTTGCCTGTTCTGTCCCACCGTTACACCGTTCTATCCCTGTCCTCCTATGCAGTTCCCACCCGTACATTCTAACCTATATATAGTTTTGTCCCGTCCCCGAGTACTGTACATGTCTTCACTTACACAACACAAATTTAGAAAACACTCATTCTTAGGCTCTTTGTGCCTATTCGCGAGATTCTCTGATTATCTTTAATGTCTTTAAATAAATCGGAAAGTATGCCATTTTTGTTCACGAATAATATCACAAAACATTGGGTAGTGTTATCTTACCGTCCAACAACATAAGACCCCATTCCTGACCTTGAAGAAAATTCATGACCTATTAAATACAAAACATGCCTCAGAAAATGTGCACTGATTTACGTCATAACTATGATCACATGCATGCACACAGGGAATATATGTGGAATCAAATGTAGGGCGTTTCAGCAATAACCATCATATAGCTATAAATAAAAACATAGTTAAAAGATACCTGCTCGGCTTCCCAGGATCTTTTACCGCTATGAGAAATCATTGAATACGTCGAGATAGCGATACTGCATCCTGAGAATAACACATACTAGATTTCAGGTACAAGTACATTTTTAAAAATTGTCTTTGTTTCCATAGCAACATGACGAAGGCATTAAACCTGTGTTTTCATTGTAAACATTGGGTTGTATTGTATAACTGAAAAACGAAGTCAGCCACCCATTTTTCTTATTTCCTATAATTCATTTCGTTTTTCAGTAACAAGAAATGTCTTGTGTTTCAAAACCGACTCACCGCCAGGCTTGCTTTTCGAATCAGCAGTGAAACAATAAATATGGCGATCTTCCACTGTCGACCACAGTTTAAACTAAAACAACAGATTTGAATCTCAATGCAAATCTTGCAGTTTGAAAATAATGATAGACATGCGCACACAGTTGTTGACTGGAAACAATTGTGCTGCAAACTCCTGCCCTTTCTGGCCACTTTCTGACCCTTACAAAGACGTTTGACACTAAATATGACAACGTAGTATGTTCTGCATATGGATGTAACACAAACCTGACTTCTCCACTGCTCCACAGCAACACCTATTTTAGAATTAAGACAGCAAAAAAGTCTCAAGAGATCATCTTAAATTCTTTAACAATCCTTAAATTAGTACAAGGCATAAAAGAGCATCGACTGAATATGAAAATGAGTTTCTTTCCAGTTGTAACTTCTATAATCTATGGTTAGTACTCTAAACATAAAGCTAATTTAGGAAAGTTTGTCCTTCGTATAAATATTGTGTTAACCACAAATACAGTAACATACCAGAGGTACACAGAACAATGCAACGTTTTCTAACAGTACAAGCAGCAGTTACGCCCACCAGTGTCTTGCCGGCACCTGAATTTTTTTAAAAGATTGTTGTCAACGCCGTTGAGGTTTCCACCTTTTGATGTTTTACAATACGCAGAGTTAGAAACACTGACAGTCTCTCCTACCACCCCTGCATCCAACAATTGCTACTACGCCACGTGACGACAAATACCGAGGATTACTAAGTACTCTACGAATATGTTCATACTAACCACATGGCAATACAATTACGCCTGATCGTGCTCTTCCGTTACCAAACATCTTTCTTAGACTCTTTTCCTGAAAACAAATTTAATTTTTTTTAGAAATAAACCCCTTCCCTATACACCCTTTTTTAAAAAATTTAGCTGCACGTCCACTGTCTCATTTATTCGAGTCCTTTCTGGATTACACCGGTTACAAAACAAATCACTATTGCGGTGCAGCAGAGAAAAAAGTACGGTAAACTGTGCTTCAGACCTTGCCTTTAACAAACCAGAGAGAGACAATAGTATAAAGCTTGACACCTTTCTCCCCAACAATTTCTGGATTTTTTATCTATGTACTAATATCATTTCTCTGTTTCAATTATGACAAACCTGGTACGGCCGTAGAACTGTTGTTGGTTTCAAATCAGCACTAGAAAATCAATGAATGCATGTCGTTTAAGAATTACAGACTAAAGATAATTTATACTTTATTTTTATCTTTAGAAATCCAGAAAGAAATCAAGACAGGCCAGGTAAGCTTACTTTAGGTCAGGATTAATTGTATCGTTCTTGAAATCATATTCAGCCAACAATGGATAATCCAGCTCAATACATCTAAAGTCCAACGTCAGAAAATTGTTTATACAAGTTGTATACAACACAAGACCCGAAATACTGCTTATACTTCCATCTAAAGGAACCATGCAGAATGTTGCAACGCAACTTACTTTCTTTGCAACGTTTCAATATGTTCTTGTGCAACTTCAAAAGAAAATGACTGCGCCTATGAAATTTTTAAAACTTGTTAACTGATCCGAAAACCTGAATGGATTTGTATGTGTTGTTTATCGTCATTATGACTGCGAGACTTGAGTGCATGTGCACATCATCAAGTCATGAATTCATAGGTAAATTAAAGAAGAATAACATATAGAAGACACCATTATGGCTCGGCAAATTTATACTTGGAATGTTGCAGTTATAATGTTCACAACACACAAACATGCACGCACTCAAACCAACAGCCAAGCCTATACACATGCACAGTAACATGGACAAAAAAAACCACAAACGTCAAATGGCGAATGAAATATACTTGGTTTTCTTACCTCCTCCTCGTCTTCATCTTGATCTATTTTATCTATATAATCTGTGATATCGGTTGGAATCGATGACTCGACCTCAGTTTTGTCCTGGGAAAAGTAAGATTTAGTAAATTATTTCATATTAATACGGCGGAATGACGTCATGAATTAGGATTATAATAGACCAGAAGATAGGCACAATATCATGCAAGGTTTCCTAAAACCTGAATTATATATAGCAATCATATGTAGTTGTTCAATGATTCAAATTAGTCCTAATAAACAAAGCAACGACTTCACTTCAATCACGTTGGATGACATCACTCATATGCCTGCCATCATGGTAGATTCCAATCATTCCATCGTTTAGAATACGTATAGTTTGAACTACAGCTATATGTATGTCGTGTTTTCTTTCATATGGTATACCTTTTCTTCTTCAACGTTAGTAATTTCTGTGGTTGGCGCTGATGATGGCCTGACCTTATGGGGCTATAAAGAGAACATATGACAAGTGTTACAAAGAATTCGCGATTGTTCAAAATTGACCCGTTCTTCTCGCCAGATTTGAGAACTACATTCACCAGAATTGTCCCAAGTTGCAGATCTCTTATCATAAAGTTTTACAAATAGAAACGAATTTACTAACGCTAAAGATGAACAAATAAGATGTACGAAGAAAATTATCGAATTTTCCTTTTTCCAAAAAATATCTGGAAGCAAGAGTTTAATCTTTTAAATCAAGCATAACAGTGAATGATGTTTTTAAAATTTATCGAAAACAACCTGAAATACAGATTTTGTTGATACGGTTGTTGACAAGAGTTGTGTGTCATTTTCAGCCACATCAGTATCGTTTCTTTTCCTAAAATAGAAAAATTGTCGCATCGTCCCACTAATATCTTGACTTATATGATTTACGGCTCTTTTTTATTCGTCATAAAACCAACCTGCAAGCTCGTTGCGACAGTTTTCATCCAATGAAAATGCTTTTGTCTTGCTTTTAATAAGATGAAAGCACTCGAAACGAGCTTGCGAGTAGGTTTTTGCTCACGGTCTGTCATATACAAAGCCAAGCTTTGCCATGACCTGGGACTAGTTGTATCAGTTGTATAAAAGACTAGTTAACTTTTAAGGACAGAAATGGCGCATCATAGTCGTCGTGTTAACTAGGTTTTCTTAACAATCTGAGTTAACTACGATTGAACTATGCAAAAATGTAGTTAAAGGGTTTTATACAACCGGCCCCAGATGTAAAACGGCTTAATTCAGGGACATGATATTAGGCATCACATGAACCGCATCAGCCACTCGCGTACTTGCCCCTGCAACTCTATGTATTCCTACCCTACCCAATATATCAATGCTTTATCTCTATATCATGTGTTATACCTGCACATTTGGACATCAGGATCCCGAAGTAACCTCTGTAAGACTTCCTGGAAATAAACCTGTAACTTACGATCAGTTACTTTTAACAAAATTATACACCTAGTAATATTTACTAACCGGAAATGAACTCTCGGCAAAATATCGATTGTGTTTCAAAACCAACTTGACTTTGCCATAACTCAAGGTACATAGCTTTAAAAATACAAAATAATTCGAGAGTAACAACCGTGTTTCATATGAGTTCCTACGCATGCAGGTTCAATGCAGGATTGCTAAATTTTCAGATTTGTTTAGGACAAAGAGAAGTCATGAATGTAGTATATACTGAAACGTACCTTAATAAACTGAATAATACCATCTGGAATTGATGTTTTACTCAATCTTCGCAGATATTCAATTATGTCGTTGGTCTAAAATAAAATTTCCTGTTTTCAGTATTTGAAGCAATTCATAAAACGGTCTTTAGCGTTCCACCACGAAATTGCCTGCACTCACGTTTCCCGGAGGAGATCAAGCAACTGAAAAAGCAACTATACCGATACGTCATATGAAATGTTGATCCATAACAAAATATAATAATAAAGTAAATTATTATCGCCTTAAATGATTGAAAAGTATAACCTGAAGTCCAACAGAAACAGCAGCATACAATGAATAGGCAGTCAATCTGATACGAAAGAAGATAAAAGCGATTTTAAGGGGAAATCCGAACATCAAGAGAACTTTTTTCAGATGAGCGATAATGTATCCCATAAAATCACCATCATTCACTTACACCATCCTTACCTGTACTCGTGCACATGTTCCGGTCGACATACTGGCTAAATAAGAGATAAAATAACCATGGATTTGACATAATTTATTATAATACGATTTCTTGTAACAATTAAGCTATTCCATACAGATAAAATATCATTACAAACGGGTCTAATGTTTGTCCTCTCCTGGGTGGCTGGATGTGCCATTAATATTTTCCTTACCTCGGAAATGGCAATTAAGAAGTCGTGAGCATGTTTGTAAACAGGTGAAAATGACTCCAAAAAGATATGGCCATCTGGGGCCTAGGTGAACGGAGAAAGTGAATAAAGTTACTGTAGTTACGGACGCCCTTTATTGCTAAAGGATGAGGAAAACCTAATACAGAATATTATCTTCTGTAATCGTGGGATACAGTACGATACAACGCAGCGAAACTGTAAATAAAACCTTCGTTTCCTCATCATATTTGCAAGTTTTGGCGAACTCGCACCGCTGGTAATTACGTTACGTTACACTTGGTTATACTGGAATATGTAAACAGCTTTTGTAAAGTGCACAATTACGGCTCAAATGTAGCCTAAACACGAAAATCAACGTGAAGATGTCCCAGCTGAATTGCTGTGATTATGTTCTATACTTACCACCCATAAAGGACGAGAATCATGATCTAACTTTAACTGGACCACTTTACGGTAATCGCGACCGCCATATTCATCCTAAATAGTCATTGATATATCTTGGCTCTTGTGCTTTTATTAACAGAACATTTATTTTTTGTTTATGTTTAGCAAATGTATTTAATACTACATCCATGTATTGAACGATCTCATGAATTGAAAGAACGCACTCGAAGCACAATTATTACGAACAGTACGATAATTGTAGATAATTGACCTGCAACCTAGCAAAAACCAGCATTTGCTGCGTAAAAAAAGAAAACTTTGTTTCCAATGTTTTCTAACCTCTGAGCCCCCTGTCAGTTTATTTTGACCCCGGCTTAAGAGACAAATAGTCAAATAAAGTGAAATTATCTTGTTATTTATAATTACCTCCTCAGCTTCTTTTCCTGTCAGTGTTACTGCAGAAGATTTGGGAGCACTTTGATTGATAGAATTTTCTTTACAAATATAAGGGAAAACATTATTCAGACAATGAAAAATTGAATACGTTTTTATGTGTATCTGGAAGGGGGTCATAGATCTACAGTTGGAATCATGTTGGGTAAACTACATGCAATTTTCACAAATAACATCTCTCTGGAAAGGCAAATCTTTCAAGGCCCAAACTTTGTTGATACTGAGTGAAAAATGTTCGAAGGGCATAGCACCTTTTCTCATAGCCCTCCCCTCAGAAGGTAGATACTTGTCTACCTTCCACTATAACCACTCAGCTAAAAACTAAATGCATTTTCAACATAGCTCCTGTTGATAAATATATACACATAATTTGGGTAGTTATATGCTTTGGTGATAACAAAGAAAACATGCATGAAGAATCATGATTGTGCCATTAATATTTCAAATAGACTAAACAGGCAGACTAATCAGGTTACAAAGTACATGATTTTGCTCCAAACTATATGGTACCTGATTCAGCATCGCCATTGTTTCCTGTCTCATTTGAAGCCTATAAAAATTTATAATACAGGAATATACAACGAAAATGTTTGAGTATGGCACTCAAACAGACAACAGCAAAAAAATTATAAAGACATAAAAGATACTTAAATACTTTTCACATACCTTAGCCTTTTTTGATGATTTGTTGCCTTAAATAAAAAGTACATTTTGTTTACATTTATAATAAATACAGTTTCCAGCATTTTGGGGGTAATACTTATGTTCATATTATCAATATTGAATGGATTTTAATCTTCTTGAACAGTGATCTTGAAGGTGTGTGTTGGGAGGGAGGAATAACATGTTATACCACTGCCTGTTTATCTTAGATTATTCATAACTATTGATTAGTACTTTATTTCCAAATTTTCCATTATGCAAATATTTATACAAAAATAAACCAAATCTAATAGAGGGGGGTAATAACCCATGCAGTTTGATCAATTTTTTACTTTGTTCATTTCCTTTTGAACGAAATAACTAATCCACGAGCATTGCTATTCTAGATACCTACCACTATCACTCGATTCTTTTTTTGACCTTTTATTTCTTGCACTCATATTGTTAATTTACTAAATAATAATTGTAATATACCATTTTCCAATTTCCATTCATTCTATGAGCCTTCGTACCTTATAGGCTTCACTTTTTTTAAACTAAAATACTTCATCTTATAACCTCGTGATAATTCACTTATTTTAGTGATTTCACTCATTTAACTGATAGGTCAGAAGCTCTATACGGCCGGTTTTTCGAAGCTGAATTACAGATTAAGTCATATTTTTATGCCATATTGGTTGTGGCTCGTGGGTAAATCATTATCCTAGGTGGGGATAGATCTATACTGTGCATCTCTATAAAGCTCGAAACATAATTGTCCCCCTTTTTTGCAAGGAAGAACAAATTAATTAAAAACATGTGGCTTGATAGAGGCCATAGAGAGATTCCGACACTTACTGTATTTTGCAATCTTATTTCATCACTCACCCCTTATCAAGAAAATCTAATGGTACGCCCTCTTTTTTTTGTAGTAATCTTATATCGAATCTTCTGTTATTTTCACAAAACAAACAACTGATTTAGGAGAATTTTTTTATCACTAAATTAAATCTTTCAACCAAGACAGCTACTTTTTGAGTTTTTGATAAAAGATAATATATGCTCTTCTGTTATTTTTCACCCTAATATCTGTGACATTTACAAATTAAGGCATTCGAACAAATTTCTCGACTGAATAACAGCATTGAAACTCTTCTGCCTTCAGGGCTGACTGACTTGGTACAGCCACGCAAACATTTACACGCTGTCAAAAACTGTAATGATGACAAATTTCTAAATAAAGCCCTCGGCCGGTTATGTTTATGCACCGGAGCAGGTGTTCATTCTAGCACTCAAATTCATGTGTCTAAAAAAATATAGTGCTATCATTCCTGTTATTATGATTGATATTTGATAACTTGCGATGAACTCAGATTTGCGCCTAATATTCATGTTAACGATTGAAAATGGATGGAATAGTAGTTTTACAATGATCAGGGTTGAGGATTCATATGACATTTTAAATCAGTTTCTTAGGCCTGTTTCAAACGTCGCATTTTGCATGTGTCGAATACAATTCTAATTAGATTCGACCCTAAAACAATAATCCGACCGTCATTTCAAACGTCGCATTTCGCATGTGCTGAATTCAAATAGTTCGGCGGTTCGGCGGGCTCTATTCCTTATGACCAGCGACAGTCCGCTTGGGAGTAAATAAAAAATGTAATATTTCTAGAAATCCTTTTCTTGCTATTATTTTCCTAATACTCTTGCGTAAATATATTGCACTTTATGCAATATCCAATTGCTTCCCAGCCGCTTCTAGCAAGCCAGCCAGCCTTGGGATTCTTCGTTTTATTCGTGTACTGCGCAACCATTACAAAGAGACGCGGTAGGCAAATGAATTTTCTCAACTTTATGCACACGTAATACAATACGATTTTTCTGGTTCATATCTTTTGTCTACGGCCTCCATATTTCCTTACTTGGGCCTTTCAAAATCATAACATGCATGACGTTCTTTGCCTTTTTCTTCAAGCGAATTAAATTCGACACATGCAAAATGCGACCTATGAAACCACGTCGCATCGAGCTCGCATAATGCGACCGGAACAGTCGAATTTAGCATCACGGTCGACCGCAATTAAAAACAGCGAATTCAATTGTTTCATACGTCGCATCTCGCATGCAGATAATTCAAACAATTGTATTCGACACATGCAAAATGCGACGTTTGAAACAGGCCTTATGCACTTTTTTGATTGTCATTGCTTTTCGTGTTTACATCAACAGTCCGGTACTTGCCAAATGCAATCGGTGTTCAGTACAGTTACAGTATATTAAAGATTTTTTGCTTAAAAAACAGGCAATATGACTCGTCGCAAAAGCTACAATAATGTCTTTGTCAACACTATTATAACAATAGAGTTGATGTTCGCGCGCATAAATGTGTTTTTGGCCCCACTCTGAACTCATTTTAGCCCGAGCGTAGCGAGGGTTAAAAAGTGTTCTGAGGAGAGCCAAAAACACATTTATGCCCAAGAACATCAACTCTATTGTTATATTCTAACGTTCCTCCCTGGACGAATGTTAGGCCTTAGGCTTTGGCTTAGGCAGTGTTCATGGTTTCTGGTTTTATTTGAGTGGGTTTAAAATGAAATCCTAATGAGCGGTAAAATGTTTGCATAGCTAGTAAACATTCTAAATTTTTATTGATCTTTCTGTAGATTATATTTCCTTGCTAATAAAATATTTACTATGTCTACAGTTAATTCTTAAACGAGTATCAAATTTAATTCAGTAATCACATGCAATTTTGTCTCACATGCATGTCAAACACGGGTTGATATCCAGTTGTTCAATGTTGGGTTAGCGCTAACCCTGGGTTAAATTTTAATCCTCTGCACTGCTGTTCGTTTTAAAACCTTTACAAAACATGGCTTTTGAATGACAAAGTAAAGTTTGCCCTAGGTCAAATTAATCGGCACTGCCACAGGTTAGATATTTATTCGAATTTTCGAATTTTAAAAACCTCAATCAAATCTCATCAATAATGCAGCAGTTCTCTGGCGAATTTCGTTGATGCTCACCAGTGACTGCTTGAACAAACTCTCGTCGTGGATTGTTATTCCATGACCATGAACTGAAGTTTTGTTCCTTGACATATTTTTCAAGTACGTTTGTTCAAAGCTAAGCATCTACTTGATGTTGAAGAAGTTTAGTTGTCAGAGAAAAATTTCCAGACAGTGTCGAGCTAGCAGAATGAGAGGAACAAATAGTTTACACCGATTATATTATTTTTCAAAAAACATTTGAATGGATTCTCCATAGCTTTGAATGTGTTCTCCACAGTCCGAATATAACAATACTCTTTTATCAGCGCAGCTTGACTCTACAATTCAAGGGTCACCCCTCCCTCTCCCGGAAATCTTCGAAGCTCTCAGGCCCTTCCAACACTCCCTATAATAAACTATAATTTAAAGAAAAGAATAATAAAGAGGAAATGGGATTTTCTCAATTTTTATCTAAGCGAGTGGGGAGAAGAGTATTTTGAAGAAAATTTCAATTAAGGCGCAAGTCATAAATGATAAGCAAAAATCTGCCGGTTCATACTCGGGGAAATTGCGCGCGCACGTATTCACTAAATTAAAATTTTGCAGCCTTTCACATATGCATGTACGTATGTAATATGATATATATTAGTCTTACATGAATAATGAATCCTTTTCTCGTACACGCTGGAAATGTTTCTTAATTTCTCAGTATAATTACTCTCAACTGAAAACTGAGTGTTTTGTCAGATTCAGTCATTTCAGCTAGACAAGAAAAACTATGAGTTAAATAATTCAGGTAGTTTTTAATTAAAAACAAGATTACTCATTATGATAAGCCAATAGGTAATGAATTGCCTTTAACTATTTTCTACACTTGCATGCATTAACTACGTAAAAACGAAATTTGAAAAATTGGTCGATTGAAAAATTTCAAGGATTTGCAAATCACAATTTGCCCTGTACCTTCTGTTAAGGAAATTTCTAAGGTCTTTATTAATCGAATAATTTATTAAAGAATACTTGACCTGATAATATTTCATTTTTACCTATACCGGAAAACCTACAGTACATGCACTGATTTCTGTATGATATTCCTGTAAGATATTCCTAAGCGATATTATGAACGCACTCTACTACAATTAGCATTTTGCTTGTCGGGTAAAAATTCATTTTGTATACGTACACACGAGATAGAAACTTAATTTTTTCGACGACAGTAAATTATATATAAATAAAGCACATTCCCCTTTATAAAGGAAGCGATCTAAAATGCTCAGTTTCCGTCTTTCTGCAGGTACAGCACGGTTGGCTTTCCAACTTAGTCAGTGTTTCCTAACTCGTTATTTTTTATTACATTTCCTTGCTATAATAGCAAATTCCACATTATAATTAATATTAAAGATTATGAACAGGTTTAATTCATTAATTACATGCTAATTCTTCCCACAAGAAGGAAAGATTTAAATTGAGATATAATCATCAGGAAAAACAAGAAAAATATATGTTCATTAAAACTGTATATTCCGTAAAACAAGCGAAGAAAAGAGATGCTCCACGCATGCAGATGTATAATTTGTCTTTGTCTTTTGTTTTTTTGTATCTATAGTATCTACAGTATGCTTCACTCGTACAGTAAGTGATGTGAAAGATGAAAGAAGATGAAATATCTTCCCTCAAGCTTAAATATTGACCTCGTATTGTTTTGTGAAAAGTATATGGGTAGCAAACAATGTGTCTGCTCCTGTGCAAGTGCATGGAATCGAACTTGACAAAAAAAGTGCTTGTGTGGGTGCATGCATTAATTCAAGCTGATATCGATGGCACAATTTGTTAATCTAAGAATTAATTATGCATGCAAAACCTAATCTCTAGCATATAAAAACTAGGAACATTATCTGTACTCCAATCTCTCTTAAACAAGCGACGTTCCAATCCACACAGGCCTCGAGAAACTAAATCGAAAACATAACAATATCGCAGCAATATCACAGTCTTCATGAAGAATCTAATTGTGTTGACGTTCATTTTTGCGGTTTGTTTCGATCAAACAATCCTTGCGTTCAATGCCGGAATGGGCAATTTTGGAAAACGTCGAGTTGATCTTAAGGTTAGAGAACTTAGAGTGTTGCATGGCCTTCATTCAATGAATTACGTATGATTTTCTTTTGAATATTTATCGTTTGTGTTTTTCAGCAATGTTTCTTCATGCCATGCAGATTTAACATTCAGAATGTTTGAGATGAGGCTGTTTAAAATCATTTGGGTTGATATAAAGCTAAGGCATTTAAGTTAAGCCATTTCACATTTCCTCAGTGTGTGTAGGCACTGCATGCGCTTCTTGTCCTTCTAGTTTATTTGCTGCGTGCCAAAAAGACAATTTCGTCACTAGTCGAACTCTGCGTCCTATATAATTATTCCTATATAGGCATTCAGTGATTTTCTCAAAACATAGTGCATGATATTTTACAAAAAAGATGAAATGCCGTATTATGCCGGCAAGTTAAAGCAATGTATGGGGGGTCTCGTAACTACAGGTCGCGGATGCATTTTTATTGCAGTTCGGCATCCTCCGCATGACCGTCATGACGATCATATCATACACCATACTAGTTATAGGATTAACGAGAAACACACGCGTTGTAATGCCAGACAACTCATCACTCATGGATCTAATTCACCCTATAGTATAGGACTATATGAGCGTGCATAGTGCATCACTCCTTTCTTAAGAGAATTCTTCATGATTTGTTGTGTTATCTCCACTGTGCTATATGTGCTAGTTCTTACATGCAAAAGAATAATATTTTGGAAGAGACATGCATAAAATTATTGTTTTACATGCATCTAATATTTAACATACGGGACGACGTTATTAGCTAGCTACATTTCCCTTTTTCTCAGGCGACAAATGTATCTTATTAAACTATATGTCCCTTTTTTCAGGAATAAAAATGAACACTTGCATCATTCATTTCATTATGCACAATTATGCACTTGCCTCATGCATGCATGCAGCACGGCGTCAGCACGTCAGATGGCGTATAACGCTTTTTTGCCGGTTTATATCTTATCTCATTATATAGAGCACGAAATAGTTACAGGGCTAGAATTATCCCCTCAATACACAATAATTCACACTTGTTGAGGCCTTAACTGTGAACATGTGTGTTATTAGCTATATATTCCCCTTTTTCTCAGGCGAAAAATGTATCTTAACTATATGTCCCTTTTTCCAGGAATACAAATGAACACTTACATGCACATGTTCACAGTTAAGGCCTCAACAATTGTGAATTACTGTGTATCAAGGGTCAAGCAAACACACGAAAAGTCGGTATACTAAATTACTAATTCTAGCCCTGTTCGTAGTCTATGATATGAGATAAGATATAAACAAAAAAAGTGCTACGCCATCTGACGTGCTGACGCCGTTCTGAGGGCAATTGCATAATGACGCGAACTTTATTTGAGGCATCATATAATTTGGGATTTTCAGTAAATTTATAGTTTTCTAGAAAATTCAAAATTGATCTTTCTATTATCACTCTCCTATTCTGAGAATAAATAATCAAGAAAACCTTTTCTAAATCTGATGATAACATAAACCATGGGATAATAACATAAACTGCATGATCTCAATCCTTCCTGGAATGGGTATATAATGTTTATCATACCACTCTAGTTTTCCGAAGGTCCGACGACAAAGTTCTGCGGTGCAATTTTATCCTACTGTTTACGTCGACCAAGAATAAATCCTGCCGTAGAGGATGGAATGGAAATGAACGAAAACGAATTTCTTTCCAGAAAGAAGGAGAACAATATTGAATGAGAAAGCAAATAGGAGGATGTAAAATGAATACAAATGAAAGAATATTTACTGTAATATAATATCAAGAGAATAAAGGATATATTGAAATTATTGATGTTAATGATAATTCATAAGAAGGAATCCATATATACTACTCAGTATACATCAAAATTAAAAATTATTTGCAAGTGGAATTTAATGTGTGGACTTCGCGTGTGTTCTTCAGTGTGTGTTGTTATGAAACAGTAATGAAAAAAACTATAATGTTGTTCGTCTGAAGTCTTACTGAGAATTTAAGACCATTCCCTAGTGCCTGCCTGCATGATTGTGAACATACACTGCATGCAACTTCACATCAAATCCAAAGGTGCATGGATACTTAAATTAATATACTTCTGTTTTTTTCTGAATTAGAAATGTGACTTTAGAAGTTATTTTACCTCGAGAATGTAGATTTAAAATAATCTATCTAATTTAATTAGCATGAATAGAACGGCCGGTATATGCAGAAATTTCGATTTTTTACATGGTCCGATATCAATCCTTTTGCTTTCATAAAAAAACTGCGGCTTCAAAGAGTTCAATTTGGATCAGCGTCACAATCATTATTGTCTCACAGTTAACATGCAGAGGAAACGAAAAATGTTATTAAAAACCCTTTCTCGAACCCGCTCAAATATTACATGGGCTTTATATAGCACTTAACCCCGTGAAAGAAAAATTTTTTCGTTTTTCGTATTTATATAAATTGATTTTAGGAAATATTAACAGATCTGCATAAATATTCGCAAAACCTGATTACACTGTAGGCAAATATAATGTAAAAATGGCACATGCCAACAATTTTCATGTTTCGATATAAGTGATCAGTGATATAATGATTGGAGTATTAGAGCGCTTTGGGACTTTACACACGATCAATACACCATCCAATTTTGTTCTCTGCGATCCATAAAGATTGAATCATGTGAACAGACGACATTTATTGTTTGTTTGCAATTACGTGACTTTTTCTCGAATGATAGTGAGTCAAACAGCTAACTTCAAGGCGATCGTCCACCAGCTATTACAGCAATTATAGAAGTCTCATACATGCATGTGAGTAACCATGCATATTTGCATGGGCTCCAAAAGTTTTTCTATGCCGACTCGACCACAATATGACACCACAATATCTGTTAATGGCTGAGCATTATCTGAGGAGGTGTTTGAGTTTCACGCAGTTGATGAATTAATAGACTCATTCCAAACTGATCTCAGTTGCAGCTACAAACCTCCCGCTAGGCAAATTGCTGCATGGAGAGGAGAAATGGCGGAGCGATATGGCATTATTGTAATTAAATCTTTAAACATCATACGATATCGGCTGAATTTTCAAATTGCCCAAATAATCTTTAGTATAACAGAAAGAATCCCGGGCAAAAAGATAATTTTGAAGAATAAAGATCTGTTGCGCAAATTCGATTAACCTTCATTTCGGATTGTTCAAATTTAACATACAAAGTTAATAGTTTTAACGAAATCATTATTACGTCGATTAATCGGCATATTGATTACTGTAAACAACGTTTTTATTAAAAACGATTGAGATCACTTTCATCTTCCAGATGCTTACCTGCCTTTATGATATCATTTAGGCACAGGATACCGCCAATAAATTAATCTAAAGTAAATTAAAAAAAGGTAATAAGTATATAATCACTGTGGCATAATCGCCCAAACGTTTAAGTCGAATGCGTTCATAGTTTAATTAAATATGATTTTTATTTGAATTTACTAAGATATCGCACCAAAAGTAAAGGAGAAAGCTAGGTCAATATATATGACGTTTCAGTTTAGTAAACATTTCTTATATATATTGCATGTGCATGGCATAATCTAAGTCCCTTTTAAAATTGAATATTGTGCAAATGAATGTCGAACCGGTTTCATGTGTGAACTAAATCAGAGTCGAATTATGAGCATCTTCATTAGTGCTCGTTTATCTTACAGCCTCGTGCAGTTTTTCCGTCCACTCATGGTTTCGGTCGCATCATCTGAACTGATGCATGCTCTAAATTAAGAAAATGCTGCCGAAAAGGCATCCTACGTCCGCTATAATGTGGGTGAAATGCTGTGAAGAATAAGATAACTTGCTGAGATGCATGAGATAGGTATCTATTTCCTTTTCTAGGCATTTAAAGCTAAGATAACCGAAGATGATTTTGAAGTATAAAAGAGCCTCCCCTCTGGCATATACTCTTATAATCAAACGACAGGAGAATACAGCTCAGTATAGTCACGCTTTGCAACCGGCTAAGTTATTTATACTCCAGCGTTATTAACACTTAAAAAAGAAAATGAAAACAACTATTGCTGTTATCTCGATCTGTTTAATGTTTCTGTTAGTGCAGCGAACAACTGGCTTTACAGCTGCGGATGCTTCGTGGGGAAAACGTAGTGAAAAGGTTCGTATAAGGGGTATCTATAATATATAAATGTCTAATATATAAGTTTGATTCAGTATTAATAAAGCCACTTGCCAAAAGTTTGAACAAGACAACATCTTTTGAAATAGCTGCATATAAATCTTACATATTTTAACACCTTCAGGTCACTGGTAATGATATATGCGAGTTGGCCAGAAAAACATGCAGTCAGTTTAGGATTGTGAAACATGAGGAAAAACTTGAGCGTGAAGCAAGATATAGCAATCTGCAAGATGAAGATTTCAGTTAATATATGTTTACCAAAATCAACAATACAGGCCAAACGATGATGAAACTATGTACTTCACTGTTTATCTGTAATATAGCAAAATGTTAAGTTCTTAAAGTACATGTAGTTAAAAAAATGTTGATGAAAAATACTATATTTATGAGAATATAGGTTGTTTCATTTGTTATTAATAGTTTTAGAATCTGTCTAGAATTTGCTCTAATAACTAAGTAAGTTTTGGTGTATGCCATTTGCATTGCTGTGACGCTAATCCTTCCAAGAGGAGATAAAATACTATTATATAGAGGCTTTGTGAAAACGACAGATTATTTATTGCACTATATACGGACGTCACTTCTCGATTCTTCCTCATCGAGTTTCTCATAGGCAACCTGATCCCTAGCTTCTCTAGCTGAAATACCCAGAGCACTAGTGATGAAAAATCTCCAAAGACATCCTACAGTGATTCACGGGCTCGGGCAATTATCAAAACTTATGAAAAATTTGCGGCCGTGTGGCTTTGGGGCCCTTTTTCCGTCCACCCACGCGAGTAAAGCGCGGGGGCCCCAAAAGCGCGGAGCCCCCAAAAGCATGGGGCCCCCAAAGCATCGGCCGCCATATGGTTAAACCGGTCCTGGGGGCAAAAGATATTCTTCCCTTATAACAACCTGGAAGTAAGTTACAAGTACGTATCACGTGATTTTAAGAAAAGAGTCTCCATGCAAATAATATGGCGGTGACAACAAAATCTTGACTATAATATAAACTACGCCACTGCTGTACAAGTAAAAGAGAAATTGCCCGCAAAATAATGCCAACTTCAGACTTATTCACCAAGCCTCCCCAGCAGCCAGTCCGAAAGCCCGGCCAATTATCCAAGGATCAAGTCACGCAATATTTCGAAGAGGTCTGTACAATTTGCTTAATAAAATACATACTGATACATAGATGGAGGTATGCGTTCAGTGTTGACTGCCGCCGTACCGGTTTGCTTGTCACGACATCCACGTTTCCCGGTATAAAGAAACGATTGCCGTATCAATTTGATAGATTTGGTATATTTATTCAGGTCTCAGACATTAAAAATCTTCACTGTATTTTATTAACTTCAAAATGTACGTATGACCTCCTTATTAGCGATCCGGTATAAAAAAATGGACAATCGCGAACCGCAAATTGCCAGGGCCGCTAAAATTCATATTCGTCATTTTGGTATATTACAAATAGTCAAATACAATTATATGTTACTGAAAAATTCATTGAGACACCAGTGTTCAAAGTTAATGGCGTATTCGTAGACGGATTATGCAAAATTAATGTTATGCGATTATGCAAAATCGGCGCATAGCAGTGAATTAATGTACTTTATTATGTAATGATGAAGAATTTTTTGCGTTAAATAATTGGACTTAATATACTTCAAGAAATTATCGTGAGAAATTGTAGTTGTATAGCATACTGCAACAGTTACAGTAATAGTGCAATCTGGCAATATCTGCGGTAATTACGTCACAACTTTGCTGTTTGCAATTTAGATTACCTTAAATGAAATGAATTTTAGGTTTACTCTCACACGAGTATAATTTGCAGGCTTTGCCGATGGTGGTATGAAGATGCATGCATGCATTGGCAGTGGGATAGAGTAATAGGTACCGCAATATTACACTAAACATTACAAAGATATATATATATATATATATATATATATATATATATATATATGGCTCAGTATCATCCTTTCACTGTGACCAAGGTCTTGAGGGTTGGTTCAGGTATACGGACACCCCCATATGGTCATCCCCACTTCCCTAGTTTACTTCTTACAGTACGCCCTGTTTATAATATTTATCATCATAGGTGAGTCAGGCTGGCCCTCACTTTAGGGGCACAATCGAGTGTAATCACGAGAAGCATAGTTTTAGTAACACCCCAAATTTTACACTCAGGTTTCAACATTTTTATTAAAGTATTCTCAACCGTTTCTCAAAAGATTGGGGTCATTCACCCACCAACTGGCTATGCCCCTGTTTATTAATTTTTTTCTTCTGTGATCAGGGTTTTCTGCTAGTGCAAGATTTCTTCAAAAAGGAAGAACTAGAGCCTGTCTTAAAATGCATTGAGCATTTGGTTGATGAACTTGCTGAAAAACTTCATAAAGCTGGAAAAATAAAAGGTGTGTGCATTGTTCCCATTAATATACCAATGATGCCTTGTTCAAAAGTAAGTTATGTTCTGTTGTAGAAAAATATGAAAATGCCTCTGTCTTCGAAAGATTAACCTTTATTGACAATGAATTTCCCGGAGCTGCAATCCTGATTCATAAGTATGGTGAAATGACTAAGGTACTGGGAAGGCTTTGCCAGTGGTGGTGTGGAGATGCATGCATGCAACCTTCTAGCATGGTCAACATGCAGGCTCATGGTCTGTTTGTGACTCTGTCACGGTGTCACCCCTTGCATAGAGAACTGGCTTGTGATTGACTAGCTGTGCTTTTCATGATTAACCTTAAATGAACAATGAACAGCCTTGTGATTGTAAAGAACAGGGAATTTTTCTTCTTATCTAAATTTTGAACTAGATGGTAGAAATGATATAAATGTGGTACATTTTGCAGGAATTTTCTGACCTTTGGACAAATGAAAGGCTTTTAAATGTTGTTGAACAATTCATAGGACCAGAGATTGCAGGTCATCCAGTCTGGAACCTGAGAGCAAAGGTGAATATACTTCAACACTAACATTTTAAAAGTAAATTAGCTTGTAGGTACACTAATTTACTTATTGATGTCACCATGCAAACATACAAGAACATTACTAACACTTTTGTTCTGCATCAGCCTCATTCTCATGAAATGCAATCAGACTCTCTCAAAGGTCCTTTGCTAGGGGTTAGTAGAACTAAATTTATCATGTTAAATATAGATACCCAAAAGTGAGCAAGCTACAGTTCCATGGCACCAAGGTGATTAAAACTCTTCTTTCTTGATAACATGATTGTTTTCTCAAGTAGTATATTCTTATGGAGTGAGATGTAGAAATATGACATAGCAATAAAACTTTACAATAAACTATTTTTTTGCATTTGAATATTTTTGGCATAATTTTAAGTTTATAAGAAAGCTTCAGCCAATGTCTCTAGTTGCTTGTCTCTAGAGGATCATATATGTGTATTATTAAATATAAACAATTTGGTCTCTTGATATTCAGATAATGCATATATGTCCTTTGAAGCTGGTGAGGTATTAGTACCAACAGCTTGGATTCCTTTTCTGGATACAAATATGGAAAATGGCTGTATGGAGGTAAAACATAATTATAGAGTGGTATAATAATAATTACTTATGAAACACACAGAGTAGACAGATGAACTGTTTGCCATCTTTTGTCCCTTTAAAGATAGGAAGAGAAGCAGAGATCAGTCTGTTATTACTTGAAGCCCAGTCAATCCTCAAATAATAATTATGCCTACGTACTTACATTAACATATGAATAGGTAGCACGGTATGGCCACAAATCTGGAGTTCTTGCTAAACACACATGTTGTGCTGGACCTACTTGGTATGTTGATCTTGATGTAAAAGAGATGCAGACAACTTTAGGTAGGAGTTTTCACTGAGCTAAATGCCACATTTAGTGACCTTAGGGACCACTCTCCTCCCAATACAATAAAGCTCAAAAATGTAAGGGACCATGTGATGGACTATGCATAATTAGCTATTTCCCAATCGAGCAGGGTACTGGGTCTAGTGGCGAACTGCAAAGCATCTATGGACTGTTTGGAGGAACAAATTATTTCAGTCTTTTTCAGACCACTGAGCTATACTAATAATACTACAACCTCGTACCCAGGGTCTTTATAATACTATAGCTCAGCGTTTCAGCTAAAATATTTCCTGGATAAATGATTTCAGACCACCGAGCCCGAGGCTGAGCTATACTATAGTATGAATTTGATTTTTACGGGATTTTAGGCGTGGATATGGAAAACGATGTTGTTTTGTGTGAGGTGCCATTTGGAGGTGTTCTGTTTATTAACAATCTGGTACCACACAGAAGGTATCACGTACACATTCTTTCAAACATTATTTTATCAATCATCATTATAGTCTTTATTAGAATTAACAATCTTTTTTTACATCACAATAAAACGATATTTAATCATGTATTATAATTTTTAAAGACGTTTATATTTTTAGCCTGAAAAATTATTCCAAAAACATTAGATGGACGATGGATTTACGATGGCAGGTTCCAGACAAGCCTAATGGTTTTTATGGTTTAAAGGTTCTGATTTTCTAAATGAGCATTTTTTAAAAAAATGTTTGCAGACAAACTTTCATTATCCGGCTTTAATTAATAATTATTAATCCTTGATTTCAAGACATTTACCCTTCTTTTTTATATAGGAAAACATTTTACTTCGAACTGGAAAGGACCCCAATCATGTCATCGACTGGGAAGCATTCGCTGTGGATCGTAACAAGTTGCAAGAGAACTATGTAAATGAAAAAACAAATATCGACAAGGTAAAAATATGTAATACTTGATGAAATATTTTCTTTTATCTCTCTTGTGCAAACAGTGTATACGATATCCTAAGAATTAATGTTATAGTGGTGTTTTATAACTACAGATACTTTCAAGAGTGTTCTAATAGCCGATTTCATATTAGAGACGGGAAAGATCATCTTAGTCTTAGACGGGAAAGTTCATGGTAAAAACCGGACTAAATATGAATAGGAATGGATAAATTTACTTTATGATGGGTCGGGTAATGCTAAAAAGGGTATCGTAATTATTACGATAAAAATTTTGTTTGTTTTCTCTTAGCCTTGTTCCGTCCTTGACCCTGTTGATATTTCAGAAACTCGTCTCATTTATCCGTCTAAATGCGAATTTATTAAGACGAGTTTCTCGCCCAGACGGGATTCCTGTCCAACTTACCTGTCTGTTTAGACGGGAAAGTTAGACGGGTAAATTCGGACGAGAAACCCGTCTGTGACCGGATTCACATTAGAGGAGTTTCCCGTCTAAGACGAGTTTCCCGTCTCTAATATGAATTCGGCTATTATAACATCTAGTTTCTAGAAGATGGCCGATTTACTGAGCTTTCGAAATGCCAGATTGAACTGCAAGGTCTCGATTGACCTTACTGGACTTATCTTCCGTTGTTAACGTTTTAGAAGGAGTATGTTGAAGATCCTGAATTTGACACGACGATCTCAGGGCCGTGGATGGATCGTTGGGAGATTGTTAATCACAATAAACACACGGATTCTTTCAAAAAGAGTTCGACATGATCAATACATTGAAACTATATGAAGATTAATCTAATATTAATAATGGACGCTAAAAAATAGCACTTTACAACAATAATAGCTCATTTTTTCAAGGCCGAAATTGACAAGAAAAAAGAGGGATAAACTAAGGGATCTTGCCACAAAATTAAGACATTCGAATTAACATTTACTGCATTTATAAATTTTAGTTTTTTATAGTTTCCATATGCTAATTTACGCAATTTTTATTATCTCTGTAGTAGTGTAGTTGTAGTGAAAAAATCGGAATAGTGTGAATCTCGTGACTGTTAACGTTTTCTGTTTTAATTTCTTGTACTAGAGCAGAGAACCAGAGTCATAGCAGATTTAGCAACCTCGTCAGTTGTATAAAGGTCTAGTTGACTTTTAACTGTTGTTAAGGACAAAATTGGCCGATCAGAGTCGTGTATTTCTGAGTTCAGTAACTACGATTTAACTAGTTAAGAGTTTTATAATAGCTAAGTAGTTCACTGTTTCATACCAGAGCCCACTGTTTCAGACATACTCTTGTCCTGCGGCCTGCGCTTTTATTAAGAAGACTGGGTTTGAACATTCGATATTCTTTTATTTACGTGGGACGTGTGTTTCAATGTCCTAAAATAAACCAATATAAATACTTCGTTTATTCATTTTTCTGCTCGATTTGAAATTTTGTGAAGAACTGGCACGTCCAGGGATCTAGTACGTCTTTATGACTGTCGTTAGTACTCATGAAACAAGCGAAAATCGGTAAGAAGACGCTAAAACGTCTGGTGTCCTTTCCTGGTTTAATCTCAAAATCAAGGCAATGGAAAGACAAAGACTATCGTGAGACAAGCACGGTATGGTGTAGAGTGTAGTATATGCTTTGACACTTGACTTAAACGTTGTTATCAAAGATCAACAAAGAAGTATATAGAAGTATATCTTCTTCCTTTATTGTGGCCAATCAATTGATGATACAGTTGAACTAATTTTACGATGGTTCATCACATTGTGGCTTGTACTGTTTTACATCTGTGCAATACTGCATGTCTACATTTATGATCTTGATTTCAATTAAGATTTACACGAGTACAACCAGAAAATAGCTTTGAATTGGAATATAACATTAAATATCAACTGAATGGCTCAAAAGTTTATGAATATGGATACATATATTTGTAGTGATTTGTTATTCCCCACTATCCCCCTGTGGTAGTAAAAATCCTTTGGAGCATGGAAAGTGTAAAGTTGTCTGTTTGTGTGAGTGTGTGTGTGATGTTTTGCTAATTGGTTACAGTCTTGACTGAAGACTGATACTCAATGTTTAGTAGCGGTAGTACCATGCAAGAATAATGGAATGAAACTAACATGCAAGAATAATGGAATTTTGATGAAAAACATTAGATGGTTATACCCTAAGCCCTAGCATTGTGTCTAAGTAGTAAAAAGAACAGCTTGCAAGGACTGTAGAGTCATAATTTACCCCCAATGAAGTCAAGGAAAATGTCACAATGATTGATAAAGGCAGACCAGGTTTGTTTTGCTAGACACTTGGTATTGTTGACCTTGGTATGTGCAATGACTTATACAAGTAACTGATACTGTAGTTATAAATATCATGTTACCACAGCTTATAAGGGACTCAAACATGGCAAAATGACTGAAATAATTACCTAATGTATGGTAAAATAGAAATCTTAACTGAAATAATTACATAATGTATAGTAGATAGATCAATTATGTGAACAGTTTTGATATTTTGTTGCATTTTCTTGCATGATTACACAAATTTTTAATTTTGTTGAAATATTTTTGGCTGGATATCTGATTAGTTCTCTGCTTATGGAAAGCACATTTCAAACAACTGAGCTTTAAATGACCATTCAGCCCTAGAATTGCATGCTTATGTTACTACTTTTCTTGTTATATACATCTATTTCTGACATCAATCTATAATTTATTTTAGGCACAAGGTTATGGAAAGCCAAGTGTTTACCATGCAACTATCATTATATTTTTGGAATATTTTGCATGGGGATTGCTGACAGGACCTATGCTAAATGTAAGTCACATGTTTTAAAAAATGTTTTTCAAATGTTCAAGTTAGGTTTATGTATAGGTAGTAACAGGCACCAGGGGATTTGTAATGTTCTTTATTGGTCAGTAAAAGTTAGAGCTGCTCCACAATCTATGTGGTTAGTCAGTATTTTTTAGATTGTGTGACACAAACATACAATAACTGTATGATAATTTTAGGTGCTGGGAGAGACATTTCCCAAACATACGTTTTTAATGAATGGATTGGTTCAAGGCGTAAAGGTACAGTAATTTATTCATTATAACATATAATGTACTATATTTTGCTAAACACCCACCCAGATAACAAATGTTTTGTCTCGTTTACACCAAGGAAAATATAATACATTTTGCAACCTGTGATTTATCATGATCTTTCTGAGATAAGAAAAAAATGAAGTCAATTTTAGCAGTTGATCTCAGTGTGAAGCTTTCTAATTTATTATTTATTTACAATAGAACAATGTAAATAGAAACCTTTAAGACAATTCTAATTTTTTATAGGGATTCTTGTCATTTCTCAGTGCACCTCTTATTGGTGCTCTGTCAGATGTTTGGGGAAGAAAATCATTTGTTCTGCTGACTGTTGGATTCACTTGTGTACCAATTCCATTGTTAAGATTTAATCCATGGTAAGAATCTGATTTTATGAAGTGAATACTGGATATTCAAAACTAGAATAAGTCATGGTCATGGACACAAAACATTTCCTAGCTTTAATAACAGTGAGCATACATGTTAACTAACTTTCTATGCTGTAATCATATTCACAACAATCAACATGCCTTGACATTGCAAACTTAATTTTCTTTATCAAGGTGGTTTTTTGGTGTCCTATCAATATCTGGAGTTTTTGCAGTTACTTTCTCTGTAGTATTTGCTTATGTTGCTGATTGTACTGATGAAAATGAAAGAAGTACAGCATATGGCTTGGTAGGTTTATTGGGTATATTACTGTCAAAAACCTGAAATCTTGTGTAATGTTGACCAAAAAGAATTAAAGGCTAGGTTTAATGAGAAAGTTTATTAGTAATGGGTAGATCAATGTTTTGTGCTTTAACAGGCTTTACTTTGTGTCCTTCACATGGTAAAATGAATCAGTTCTAGATATATCTAGTTTGCTAATTATTGCCTTATTTATTGCAGGTGTCAGCAACATTTGCAGCCAGTTTAATCATTAGTCCAGCTCTTGGTTCTTATCTTCAGGCAGTCTACAATGATAATGTGGTTATTGCCTTGGCAACAGCGATAGCAATTCTAGATATTTTATTCATATTAGTAGTTGTGCCAGAGTCTTTACCAGAGCGAATGAGACCAGCATCGTGGGGTGCCCCTGTGTCTTGGGAGCAAGCTGATCCTTTTAATGTAAGTGTAGTAATTTAAAAGAAAAGTATGCATTTAGATTTATATTATACAGGGTGTCTCAAAAAAAACGCAACCACTTAAATATGCAAGAATATTTATATTGTTCGAGTTTGCACCAAAGTTCAGCTAAAATGACTGTTAGCATTTTAAATGAAGGATTAAGAGCCATTTTCCATTCCCAGAGGTGCTTATTTATTGCGCTTTAGAGCTGTATTAATGTTCTGCATATTTAAGTAGTTGCGTTTTTTTTGAGACACACTGTATTACTACAGTATACTGTATCATCACTGTTCTAGTTTCTTTGAATTCTGCAAAACCTTTTTCTTTTATCAATTTGTACAAAAATGCCTGTAAACCTTCACCATGCAACAAAAACTGTGAAATTTCCAATTAAGGGAGTTTTAATAGTAAAAGTTGTTACTAAACTTTTTGCTTAATTTTGTCTTCAATTTTACTTTCCTTTTTAGTCTTTAAGGAAGGTTGGTAATGATCCAACTGTCCTTCTGTTATCTATAGCCGTATTTTTATCATATTTACCCGAAGCTGGGCAATATTCCTGTATGTTTCTTTATCTAAAGAAAGTAAGTACATCTCTGATTTATTTGCATGGTTTTTATTCATATGGAGTCCACCACAGCGATGGTCATATAATTAAAAACCGCCTGATCTGCTTCGTTGTCGCTTCTCGCTACCCTCGTGCATGCATGAATACAACGTAAGCTATCAAGGCCTGTAGTCTGTACGATTTAAGACGTGGCAACACAGCGAAGATGGCCAGCAAAAACTTTAACAAAACATTACTAAAGAAATTGACGTTCAGTGCTATACACTTTTTATGTCACTCCATGTGTCTCTTAATTTCTTTTCAAAAATTTATTTTTGGCAGTTGTTGTCATGTTGCCCTCCTAAATCATAAAACCTTAGGTCTTGTTATATAGTCTTTGCGCTTCTTATTAACCCCCGGATCGTGTGATACAAGAATTTACATTGTTTTACTGGTAGCTGGTTAATGCTTTCTTTACAGGTTCCATTTTGAGTGCGTTCCTAATAAACGCTGCTATAACATACGTATACTAATATTTGTATAATAACAAAGTGTTTTATATTATTCATAGGTCATGTGTTTTAGTTCTGAAGATGTAGCAACTTTTATCGCAGTTGCTGGGATTCTGTCTGTATTAGCCCAGGTAATTCCATGGTTTCTCCACTCTATAGTGTTCGCTCATAAATTATTGGTCTTGAATTCTAACAATTACCTGTGGTATATACAGCTTATTATATTATATACCCCCTATTTTTCATATTATATAAGAGAGAGTACGAAAGGCTTTAAGAAAGTCTAATACGATAATACTATGGCTTTTAAATTCGTCAAGGTTCAAGTTATAAAAGTAGAAAATCGACAACATGCATGCACATGCTGCTTCGTCATAATGCTCATAAATATATATGAAAACATGCCACCAGTTACATCAATGCTCTCCCAAATTCTACCCAAGGCCACCCGCACAAAAATTATGAATTCAAAATGTATCAGAACAATAAGACTATATATAGAAAGAAACATAAAATAAAGATGGATGACACTTGGTACGAGATTGAGAACGACTTCTGGTGTCCTTGTCAAGACAAATTCGGTTTTCAGACTTATGAAAACCATTTGCCCGAATGTCGCCAGCATAAAATTCTAATGAAAATATCGAACAGTATTGAATATTTACCTGGAGAAATCCCTCAAACAGAACATGGCAGGAAGCGAAACAGCGTTGTAGATGAATTTCTGGCGAACTTAGAGACCATGAACACATCAAGAAGACGAAGCTCCTCAAAATTATTGCCAGGTTTTGTTCCCATTGAAGAGATCGTTCCTTCTCTTTCCACCCGGGTTCCTGGACTAGACGTGTATTTGCCAACGTGTTTTTCTCCCTCGAAGCTCGAAAGATTAGAGTCGGTTTTAGATCAAGATATTTTTGAATTTGTAGGAAATGTTGATTGCAATCAAAGGAATGTAGATAGATCCTCTGAACGCGATCTATTACCATTGGCTGGTGAACTTAATCCTAGGAGGCCTATAGTCAGCTGTGAAAATTACTTTCAGAATTGTGACGATGGTTATAGTCATATAAACAAAAAAGAAACGGCTTCTTGGAAAGGGTTCGATTTCGATGCAAAAGCAGATGACTGTGAAACCCGAGAAACTAGAAATATAGATTTTGATTACAGCCAGTATGAGAATGGTTATCATCGAAATAACTTTCACTTTGTCTCATACGTGACGAATACCAAGCGAGAGAACAACAAAGCTTTTGATGAAGAAAATAGGGAAATACATGGACAAAACTCTACCACAAATTGTGATGAATTTATCCCAAATGACGGATCGAGCATGATGTCAATGAAACATGAAAGGAAGGTGAACGTTTTGCATGAAACAACAGACCGACTGGCTTGTTGTTCTCTTGAAGAAACTGGAAGCAACAAACTGTCCAAAAAACAAGTTCAACGTAATTTGGCTGAGCGAATGCGAAGAAACTCAATGAATAACAAATTTTTAAATCTTCAAACAGCCATCCCAGATATCGCGAACAAGAAAAACATTCCAAAGGTGGATATTATCAAAGCAGCCGTTGCATATATCAACATCCTTCAACAACAAGAGATATATTACCTGCAGTTAAAAGCTTTGGAAAAAGAAAGAAACAGACAACTTGTTGCGAAACTTGCCCGTTTTAACAGCACCTGATAAATAACGAGGGATCGTTTCTTATACATTAGTACATTAGCTGAACACTATTCGCAGATGTAGATTTTCGAGAAATCAAGTTCTGTTCAATAATGACAGCATACTTATAGTGTCATACGTATAGTGTCAATATTTCATTTATGTAGTGTCAATATTTCTAGTTGGAATGTAAATGAAGATATGAAAAAATGTTTCACCGCCGCAATTATGAGGCGTCCATGTAATATTAACTATATCCACAACATATTTGCATAAAGCTCGACCTGTACGTTTTACCTTTTGCCATTATTTACATGCCATCTCGTTCCCGGTTTATTTTTTGATAATGCTTTTCCAAAACATCCAGTAGTGTTTATAAGGTTACGTCAATAATATTTTCTTCTATGATTTTTAGACGGGTGTTTTAGCGTTGTTAAAGAAAAATATAGGATTGAAACATTGTATTCTAGTGGGACTCGTATTTCAGGCCCTACAACTGACTTGGTATGGTTTGGGAAGTCGACCTTGGTACGTCTTGTTTTGACATAAAAATTTTGACATTCATTGATATTTAGGCAAGCTTGTATAGTCATTACACAGATAGGACTTTTCTTCGGCGGCAAAGCAGTTCCTTTGGACCTCGGCCCCCTCTCACATTGAATGATAAAAAAAAACACGGATAAGTTGCTATATTAATTACAAGTCCAGTCAAGAAATGTTTGAGGGGAATGATACATCGATTGCATCAATTAAAGGGCATGTATACCATAAAGAAAGTCGTTATTACGGGATTAAGAGATCTTGAATAGATAATTGTTAAGCTGCATTGGACAATAAAGAATGAATTTTACTCATTCTAGAATTAATGGTATAAAAACTGTCCACCACAAAAATTTTCCTGGCAAATCGTAATTTTTCATTGTGTTCAATTACCAGGATGATGTGGGCCGCGGGTTCCCTGGCGTCTATGGCTAGTTTAACATATCCTGCAATTAGTGCCTTGGTGTCTTGTAATTCAGAATCAGATCAACAAGGTACCGTACCTCACGAGGATACTTCTAATAATTGAATTTGGAATATTAATGATAAAACATTCTGAGAATGCTATTATGTCTAGTGGTGACGTCGTCAGCTGAGGCACGTGAACGAGCCAATCAAACTTCGTGTAACATCCGGCTTCCGCGTTTAACGTCATTATGAGAAAGGCCTATTAAATTTTTGAACTAATAAATATTTCTTATATATAGGTGCTGTGCAAGGTATTATCACAGGCATACGTGGTTTATGCAATGGCTTAGGTCCCGCGTTATTTGGTTTAATGTTTTTTATATTCCACGTGGATCTTGATTCACCCAAACCAGGATCGTCACTTAAAACAAACTCGACGTCGACAAAATCCTCTAGTAATGATCCATCGTTAAAAGTGAGTCTATACTAAATGCATTATAATAAGAGCGATTTGCAGTGAATTTCTTCCGTTTAGATTGAAGTTCCTTTAGAGGATGGCGCAACTCGCACTAAGATGTGTGTCCTTATTCATTTTAGGGAATAGGAACAGGTTCGCCGTTTCTTTTTGGAGCAGGCTTGGTGATCTTAGCTTTATTACTAACATTATTCCTGCCAGAGAAAAAGAAAACGATGACAGTGAATCTAACAGCATCCCCAAATAAATTAAATCGTGCGAGTACTTCTGATGATGGTGATAAAACTGCTGATAGTGAAGCCACTGAGAGTATGCCAATGTTATACAACACGGACTCATGATGGGTTTTCGTATCCCAGAGGTCGTCATAGTTACGTGTAACTTCACTAGTAACGGATTGAAATTTACATTGTTTTTTTTGGCGGGATTCAATAATATTTTATGATCACAAGAATATCTTCAGCAATATGAATCATGAAGACTGATCGTAAACATGCGGGGAGATGATTAGTTGCAGTTTGGCAAAAGTTATAAAATGATCTTTACTGTTGGTACGATCCTGCCGAAACAAGGGTAGGAAAAACATAAAGGACGATGCTATGGGTTTTTGACATGGATACTTCATTCCGACTGGTTGCATGGGTTGGAAGTGTTGTCGTATGCACAAAAATGGCGCAAAGATTACTATACAATTCTGTGTTACGCATGTACGAGCTGGTGACACCTATGAATTGATCCAAATTTTTTAGCTTTACGAATGCATATACAGTTCTATATTTATTATAATATGGATAGTATATAACTTGTTTAAGCTAAAGTGTTTGTAAATAGAATTTTCGTACTTTTGTAATTAGTATAAAGTTGAAGTATGAGTATCGGGTTTGAAAACACAACCACCTTACCACCCAGAGGTTAAGCAGACAAAAAAACAGTTACCTTGGACAGAGACTAAAATCACTCTGTCTGTGGGCATATTGCTGGACGATAGTCATGTACTCATCGCTACACATACTTTATACAGATACATAAATATATATTAGGCACCAATACATGCAAATATACAGTTGAATAGGAATGGTCGAATTATTTCAAATTATATGCATTGTATTTATATAAAATTAAAATATAGTATCGGTTTTATTTTAAATAAATTGATAAGGTTTGTGGGATGCTTTGACTAGACGTCTTTTACAGCAACATCAATTTTGCATTTGGTGATTTCTACGCTTCAACTATTTCCAATTCAAACTATTTCGACTCCAAACCCTTATCTACGTCTACTTCAACCAAGATTGTTGAGTCGACAATGATGGCAAGCGACCGGGTCTTTCGTTCTCAGCGAGGTTGCAATTTTGGTCAATGTTACATAAAATACTCAAATAACGCCATGTTTTCATCCAGTGACCAGTAAGGCAGTGTCGTCGAATGATATACTGCATGTAGGACCACAGTTTTAAACATATTTGTTGATCAGAACCGGGTTAATCATTGACTGTGGCATTGGGTTTAAATTTAAGGGCTAAACTATTGATACAATATCGTAGGCCAGTGGGTTTTGGTCCATCGTTGAACACGTGTCCAAGATGAGATCCACACTGAAATTATATCAAAATGATCAGAAGTTTAGAACTCCTTCCCATCCCCACTTTCTTTACTCTCGCCTATCTTAAACATACAGTAAGTTCCACGTTATTTTAGGTTGAGAATTTATGTCACCGCGCGAGAATGAATTTACCGCAAAATTAAACCGACGATAGGGAAATTTAGTCGTTTCACTGTTTCCCACACACACTGGTGGAACATTCTATTGTGAGTGGAAGTTAACCCACTTTTGGCAATTGTTGCCAATATTTGCTGACACTTTCCTTTCCATAATTGGAAAAAAATGAATTGCGTACAATAGACAGCAAGAGAAACTCTGTCCTGGATACCAACACTATTCCCGAACATTGCATACGTCAATTTTGCCTAAGGCCTGTTTTCCACAATCGTAGTGTAACGTAGCGTATTTCTTTGTTTCCGGAGTATTTGACCAGAACTAATGACTTTAAAACAGTGAGGTACGCTACGTTTCGCTACGACTGAAGTGGAAAACAGCCTTTAGGAACCAATGCTCAATTTTTAGAGCATTTTCCTGTAAGTCACAGAGAAACCTTGCTGCAATTTCGCAAATAGTCCCGGTTAGCTTCAAAAATTCTGATCCTAGTATCAGAGTTTTGTGCAGACTTTTCTGCTGATGCCAAAACGATTAGGTTTTCATCCTTTTTTTCAGATGACTACCAATAGAATTTTGGTCAATAACTGCATTGTGACACTTATATAATATACTATACTATAATATTTTTTGCAACTTCTCATGTTTTTATATACTTTACTGTACCTGTTTACACAGGACTTCGACTCTAACCATTCCATGACTCTTGTCTACAACTTGATCAACACTCATACTTGGGAGTCCACGCTGTTTTTCTTCACTTGTTTGTTCCCTTTCAATGGAAGACCAGAATGAAGGCCATCCACTTTCTGAGTTAAATTTCATGGAAGATCTGCTCAAAAAGAAATTCATGAACTTGGCATCTGACTGCCTATAATTCCTTATGAAAATAGTCTGTTCCTGGTGCCAGTAATGGGCACTGATTATGAACTAATTATCTTGCAATATTGATTGATTGGTCACCAATGCAGGTCGAGGCTAGAGATTGAGTTACTGTTGATTTAAAGTGTGCTTAAGACATCTCCATTTACCCATATACATTCTACTGGACCGGCCCCTGATACATTGATAACATGTCTGTTTCAGTCCATTCTTCTCACAGAAGTGCTCCAAAGCAAAGAAATATATGCTTTGTTTTGCTTCTTTCAGATAACATTTTAAAAATCAATACTGCTTGTACAACCAAAATCTGGCATACTTACTCGAAAAGATCAGCATCACAGCAAACACAGCTGTAGATTCCAGATTGTTTATTATCAAGCAACTCACCCGACCATGGCTAATGATTGGAATAATACAATTCATACTCAAAATTTTATCTAATATAGGATAAGATAAAAGCAAGCAAAAAGAACGCTACTACAATATTTAGCTACTGTATTCATATCAACATACTGGTTCTGTTCCTTTTTCTCTGCAAATATGATATTGTTCAGGGGTGAGTCTTTCTTTCCAGTCTTCCTCACTATAACTTTTGAAAGATTTATGATCTGCATCAGAAAAAAGTCAAAAAAATTTACTTAAAATAACAATCTAACAGGGTCAATGGTTTGTTCACTTTAGGCACAATCTCACTTTGAAATTAAGGGGTAATTGGGCACATTTAGCTACTATACAGGATCTCTGGCTAAAATACTAAGCATGGAAGGGCGCTTAGAGAGGACATGAAGGGAACAGAAATAACCCCCACATACTTAGCAGTTAGCAACTAATTTTATTACAGTGCTATAAAAGCAGTAAGAGCACCTGGATATGGGGTTGGCTGTCAGATGGACTGTCAGATGGTTGCATGCAAGTGAAAGCCGTAAGTGATTGAAGTTAGGAATGATAACAGTCTTGTATCCAGGTGTCTTCTGTATAAGTTTTTTATTAATAATATTATATCACGCAAGTAACACTGATCACACTTTATTTTTATACAAATTTTCTTTAACTCACCAGAGCTGTGGGCACAAGATATCTGTAACGTTTGTACTTGGCAAAGTCGAGTGAGGGATACTTGATTGAAAATTCTAAATGACTGATTGTTGATAGAAGCAAATGCGCAGTTTATTCTACGTGGCAACAGAACAAATTTTCGAAAATAACGTCCATATGTTGCCATCTTGCTCCTCTATTCTCTATTCTAATTTCCAAATTCTAAAAGTTCACTGTTTCCACTTTGTGACATTGCCTTTGCAAAAAATTCCCATTTTACTCGATGGCAAATGAAAAAGAAAAATGATGATCACTCTAATTTCTCAGTTTCTACTTATTGTACGTTCCTATCCGCGCTAAAGTGCATCTCATTAAATGCTGTAAAATACTGTTAAAAGTTTACTTTAGAGCGGTCCCTGACTGACTGAGCTAGAGGTATTGAGAAATGTTTCAATAATTTATTATTTGCATGATTGCATCATAGTCGTCATAGACGTCATATGGTATAGTTATTTTGTAATTCGCAGGTATTTGCAGCAAGGATTTTTACATAGAATATTATATTCAAAGGAGGTTGTTTTTTTGTAAAGAAATTTCAACCCTAACCAGGTAATTTTGTCTTAGCATAATTAATTAAGCTACCAGAAATGCATGAGCAATCAATGTTGATTTGTTGATGTTCTGGCTTACTATTGATTAGAACCAGGGCGCTGTAAAACACCGCTGTGTTTTACAGCGCCCTGATTAGAACTGATTTTCCAATTTCCGTAATGATGGTGTAAAATTAAATGCTTCGGGCATGGGGTGGTCCTGCTAGAATGAAATTTAAAGGGACATGCTTGCATGACTCTCATAAAGCAGTGATTAAAGCACCTAAATTAATAAATTTGACATGATTGTCAAAGATGCCTGTGTGAAAGTGGAACTTTCTGCCCAAGAGAAGCTAAAGCAATATTATAAGAATTGATTTTTGTGGTTAAATAAGTGTTTCTTACATAGTTGGATATGTTATGAAAAATGGAAGAAGAAAACCAACAATCATCCATAATTTTTAAAGTGTTTTCATTGTACAAGAAATATGGAGACAATGATTATTTGGGAGAACCAGTCAACCAACTAGAACATGCAACCCAGTGTGCTATGTTGGCAGAGAAAGAGGGCTATTCAGTTGAAGTAGGTTTATATAGTGCAGTAAAGTACACCCAAAATGATATGTGTAATATTTGACTGTGAAAACAGTGAATTTGTAAATAAATGAATAATGAAAATAACTTAAAATTTAGTATCAAATGTGGTATAACAACTGCCTAAAATAGACAAAACACTTCTTGACGTTTCGACCTGAGGGCCTTCATCAGGAAAGGTAGTATGAAAAACTTTTTACGCTGCTCCCTGGTTAAATTGTAACTTAAAATTTGTAGGAGGACTTTGTTGGGTCCAATAGGTTTCATGTTGGACCCATTACTTATTGGAGGATAAGTCAAGATTTTTAACATTTTAATTATGACAATGACATATTATGATTTAGGTGATACTTGGTGCGTTTCTGCATGACATAGGACATCTAGTAGGAAAGGACAATAATTTAGAAGATATGGTAACTGACGGCGTGATAATTGGTACCCAAGATCATGATAAAGTTGGAGAAATCTTCTTAAAAGACCTAGGTATAGAGTTTTACTTTAATATATTAAAAGTATGCTCTTCTGTAGTTCTGTTGAAGTTGATCTACTACACCTTGAATTTTTGCCTTTACCCAATTTGAAAGGCTTTTATATTTCAGGATTTCCAAAGGCTATCACAGATTTCGTTCGAGGTCACGTTTCGGCGAAAAGATATCTTGTCGCAAAGAAACCTGGATATTATGATCGTAAGTACACAAACTTAAGTATCAAAACCACCAATTTTGCTCTTCTTGATGACTTGACCCCAACTTTTTTTACCACTCCTCAACTTCACAACGTCTCGTTGAGAGACGTTGATATGTGTTTAAACTACAAGCGTGACTCAAGGCCAACGGGGACATATTTCGCCTGGTACACCGGGTATACTTTCATAGAGGGAGCCAGGAGGCACCACTATATAAGTATATTTGCAGAGTATACTCGGATTATTCCTGTACAGTCTTATATTCCTATTATAATATTGTAAATTAGAGTTATCGAGTGCAAGCAAAATGACGCTAGTACATCAAGGTGGCCCAATGAGTGAAGATGAGGCAACGACATTTGAAAAGTTGGAGAATTTTGAAGCAATCCTGAGAATGAGAAGTTGGGATGAACAAGCCAAAATTGAGAATATGGTTATTGATCCACTTGACAAATACGAGGCTATGTGTAAGACTTACTTAAATAATCTAAAAATATCCGTGTAAAATCATAGAAACAATATGCACCAATACATGATTAATGAAACACTATTATGGATTAGCAAATAGAATAATTTACCTATTTATATTGTATTGAATTTTATGCTATCTCTGTAAATAAGAATAATTTGTAATCTATCAAAAAAATACTATAGTCGCAGGCAGCAAAAGTCATCCATGGTAACTACCACTAGCTTTAAATTTGCGGCTATTCCGGCTAGATGACCTAATCAGTTATAGTGATATGATATTGTTCGTTCAGGGTTTTCCGCAATGCTCCAGCAGCGTCTGAATTTTTTACATGTATAAAACTGATACCGGGAGCCGCGGGAGGTGAAGTGAAGTGATGTGGTGATGTGACCATGTCAGGTCCGGTAATGTTATGCAAAGTGAAGGTTAGTTTAGGTCTGTTTAAGGTCTGTTTAAGGTCTGTTTACTCTGGTTACCCAAGTAGCAAGTAAGCCTGCAAAACAGAAGATCATACTAGTCTTACGAGCAAGTCCTCCATGACCTATCCGTTTAGGCGTTCTGGTAATCTGATGGCAAAAATAGGTACGCTACGCGTACATATATTTCTGGTGATACATGTAGACAACGGAGATTGAAAGTAGTGAATGATAACTTTTCTACAGTAATGAGTATTTTTTAAAGAAAAATAATAGTGGTATAATAGAATTTTCAAATGATGCCCTGAGACCATAAAAAGAACATACTAATATTAGTAAAAATGGAACATTTGGTTACGAATTTTCGGCCCGAATGTGGTAACAACAGTCCGTACAAATTGGCAAATTTGTAAGGAATAAATAAGTAATTGCAAGGGTATATTTTCCGCATTTTACAGTATGTCGCAACCATTTAATTGCATTTCCTCGTAGTAAATTTTATGCTTTTAATGTACTGCAGGCGCGTATTTAACCAGCAGTTGCTTAAGTTCAACATTAGTTCCAGTCTCTTTGTGAACGCGCTTTCAGGTGACGTGTTGCCATAAAAACTTCGTGAAAGTCTGAAAGAGACCCTTGTTCTGTTTTGTTCTATTTAAAAGTTTACTTCACACTATGTCAGGGCAAGGAGAGTTTTACTCAGAGAATCAAGATTTCTACCAAGGTGGATTCTACAGTGGTGATCCTTCACAACAATATGGTGGTAATTATGGTCCCCAAGACGCGTCCATGCAGTACCAAGCTAGCTTTGACAACTCAGGAATATATCAACCACAACATTATCAACCCAATGATTATTCTGGTTCTATGAATCAAAATTACTCCAACGTTTCTGAAAACTATGGAGGTACAAGCTTTGAGGATGAGCCACCATTACTGGAAGAATTAGGCATCAATTTTGATCATATCTGGGAGAAAACCAAATCGGTCTTAAATCCATTGAAAGAGACTGATTCTCATATCATGGATGACACAGATCTTGCTGGTCCATTAGTCTTTTGTCTTGCATTTGGGGGCCTCTTATTACTACAAGGAAAAGTGCATTTTGGCTACATCTATGGGTTTGGTGTCCTGGGATGTGCCAGTATGTATGCAGTATTGAATTTAATGAGTATGACAGGTGTTTCAGCTGGATGTGTTATAAGTGTTCTTGGATATTGTCTACTGCCTGTGGTTGCATTGTCAGGAATAACCAGTATTATCAAGCTACAAGGTTTGGCTGCCATTTTGCTAAGTGCACTAGGAATTGGATGGTGCAGTTTATCTGCATCAAAATTCTTTGTAACTGTCTTAGCAATGGACTCCCAACAATTATTGGTGGCATACCCATGTGCACTGCTTTATGGAGTGTTTACTCTATTGACAGTTTTTTAAGGATGGTTATTACATATAGAACACAATCTATTGCAGTATCTTCCTGGGTGCAGTTAAACATTTCATTTCAGGACACAGTTGTAGTTACATTGCATAATGATCATGTTTTCAGAAAGAAAAATACATTGTAGAATGTACTAGAACAAATAATTTTGAGGTTTTTGACATTTGGATTGTTGTATAGTATGGAGGACCTGGAATTATAATACTGATAAAATAATGACCACTGTTTTTGTGCATATGACTTAAATTACTAATGCAGTGAGTTAATTAAAATGTCAGTTTTATGTGGTTTTATGTCATTTGTAAACTACTATCAAATTTGAAGCCCATATTTGCACTCAAGGCCAACCAGTAATAAGGTTCTGGTGGGTAGATCTGGTCTTAAATTGCTCATTACCTTTGAAAAGCAAAGACAAAAAGATGAAATACTGGAATAAAAATGAAAGGTAAATAGTTCAAGTGAATGCCTGCAATCAAGCAATATTAATTTCACAGCAGAGTCTAGAGTATCTGCTTTTATATCTGCAATTATAAACATGGATGCACCATAGAGCTTATAAGGACGTTGACACGTTGTACGGATGAAATCCATAGATATACAGTCTAAACCTAAAGCAACCACTTTAATAATATTCAAAATATTCACTTTGTGAGCTACACAATTAAAAAATGTGCTATTGTGCATAAAAAATGGCAACACCTAAAATTTATATTACACCCTTTATAAATGGCCTGCGAACAGGCTTAACAAGACCTGTGCTGGTTCGCGCCAAAATTTAAATCAACAAAAAAGATTGACTTTTTCAACTAAAACTGTTAGGATTTGTATATCTTTTCGTTTTCACATAAACATTTAACGCCAATAGAGTTTAAAAATGGAAGCTTCAAATGAACAAATTGATTTACGTGAATTTGTAAGCGAATTTTTGTCCTGGCAAAAGGTAAGTAAAAAGGTGTAAACATAAGTAACCTTTCAAATCAAGATAATGCATTGGTTTTGTTTGTTAAAACGATCTATCCTTTTTTGTAGACCATAAAAAAATTAGCTAAAGACAATTCATACTTAAAAGTGCAGTTCACAACTATTCAAAAGCAGCTTCAAAAGAGTCAAATAGCTGAGAAGACGGCCAACGAGAGTACGAGGACTTTTCTACGTTTGTTCTCCATAAGGCTTTTGCAGCTTTGATTTCAGTATTCTTTCTAACAATTTTCTGTGTAGAATGCCTACAACTCAGGGAAATGGTCAACAAACTCCAAACAATTCTAGACATTAGAAATAACATGCAAGGTATACTTTATATTTTCAGTAAACATTAGCATTGCACATGCCATTGGCATTGCTAATAAAATCACAATTACTGAATAGCTTTTCTTAATTAAATTTAAAATTTTCAATCAGACGAAAATGTAAAGTTGAAGAAGCAACTCGTGGACGCAAAAGAAATGGCGATAAATCTTGAACAGGCAAATTACATTACCATTCTCTCTACTTATAGGCTTCCTTTTCAATATTTCCTCGCCGAAACTTTGAGTCGGAAATCGCATTTTAATTTTCGTATTTCTTGGCTCTTTCTCTTTCATACGTATGGTCAGAGAGTATGATGCGCAAATGCAAGGCCATCTGATACAAAATATATCTTTTTAAGAGTCACAAATGCCAAATGAATGAGGCTATTAAGAATTTAGAAGCCAGCCAACAAGCTCACGCAGTTGAAATAAAAAGACTTCAAGAAAATAATCAGTTACAAAGTGAGATTACGGTGTTTAATTCTCTGTGCTATTAGCCATTTGACTAGTTGAACATGTTGAACATGAAAAGTGTCTTTGACTTAAAACAGATAAACGTGAAGTGTCATTGCTGGAGAAAGAAGTTCAGGAAAAGAACGGTGAAATAAGGGAGTTGTGTCAAAAATTATCAGATATAGAAAGAGATAAACATACAGAAATTGTCAAGTTAAGACTAGAGGTTAGCTGGAAACTTGTTTAAACAACTCGTTTGACAAACTATTAGGTATAGCTAGATCTGCCATTTTAAGCGTTAGCACTATCGGAATGCTAGCTGTAATTGGTGCTGATAATTTATTCTTTGATATCCTATAAAAAAATCATCATATTTTTCTAGTATGATGCCAAACTTCTCAAGGTTCAAAAAAGTAGTTCAAAACAACAACCAGGCTCAAATGCGACTGCTAACAATGAAATTTTTCGCAAAGTATGTAAAATTAGAATTATAGCTAGAGATTAGTTTACTGTCTGTCTTCAAATCTTATCAGTAACAGCATTGGAACATCATTTTGTTGAACGCTCCTTGCTGTACAACTTAATTCACTTTAAGCCATCATTGACATTCTATTAAAAGTACCACATGAATCACATACTAAATCTTTCTCAAACACTAAAGCTTACAAAATCTAGTTTGTATCACTAGAAGTTACAATATGTCAAAGTGCAAGCTGAGAAAGAAGTGGCCATGTTAAAGAATAAAATTATGGAATTGGAGAGGAAGTTAGTGCAACAGACAAATCAACAGGATTTTCAACATTTGCCTCAAAAGAGAAGGCGATTAACAACCATGGGAAAAGAACGATAAATAAAGTTTACATTATACTTAAAACTACTTATACCTTTATGTATATGTACATAATGTATTTTGCGTTAAATGTACATATAACATATATATCAACCATGTTGCTATATATATACATTACTATATTACAATAATACTATAATACAATTACTAAATAGACCAAGACAGCTATATGTCAATTATATATTTTCTCCAGTTTCACGACAGTTCACTCTGATATATTTTTAACATCACTTAAAAATTTATTTGTTCTCCCTATACCCACGATAATGCACTAGCAGACTAGCTCATAACATGCAATCTGGGCCCCTTTGATGTAAAAATTGCTCAAATTTCACGTTTGCAAATGTTTCTGAAAAAAATACACATCTGGCAAACCTAAATGTTGTTAGATATTTTGATAGCACATATTGTACATGCCTTATTGTCTTATGCCACATCTGAGTGTATAAATTTTTCCAACATATTTTTTCTTTCTGCAGGGGGTGTTTCAAAATACAGTTTTTGCTCATCTGAATATTTCATGATGGCAGGAACAATATCTCTAAAACTCCAATCTTTCCAATGATAATTAAATTTCTGGAGAAGTTGAATTTTCTTTTCATCTTCACAAACAACATCTACGGGAGATTTTTGCTTTAACTCTGTAGCTTGGACATTCTTGAAAATAATAACTCCTCGAAAACCAAACCAACCAGCATACTTTTCATGAATACTGACTCCATATATTTTTGTATTAGCTGGCCATGGATCATTCTTAACATTTTTCCGCTGGTAGTAAAATGCCGCCCCGGAAACATGACCAGCAGTCTGGATTAGTATTTTAGGCTTGCGACTTGGAAGTATTTCATAGTCAAAAATAATTTCTAATTCCTCACTTGTGACTTCTGCTTTAAATTTATTAAGATATTTTGCAATAAATTCATCCAAGGGGTCCATTGACCCTGAATAGGTGCCAGTTTTCAAGAAAGGCTTAAAACCTTTCTCAAACATTTCAGGTGAACTGATAATACATAATGCTAAAGTATCATATGGATATTTAAGTTGAAATGGTTCATCCACTTGGTCATTGTACCATCCTGTCTACAATAAAACAATTACGTGAGCCTGATTGGCCAATTAGGAATGACAGAATGCTTTGTCAGCAAATTCATTCACAGGGCAGTTAAGGTTTTCAGGTTTTCCAAAGACTGTGCATCTAAGGGCTAATGCCATTAATTAATGACAGCGTGATGCCTTGTGAATGTTTATATTAAATTAATTAAACAATATACATTGTGAGCCCCGAAGAAAAGAATGGCTAGTTGTCTACCTTAAATGCATGTGTTTCTAGACCAACATCAGCCAAGTACGCCGATGCTTCCACAATAATTGACTCGATTTTCGCCATTTCTGCTCCAAATAAAACATAAACATGATATTTTACTATTTCGCCTTCTTCGACGTGGCACGTGGCAGACGATGTACAGCAACCTCGTACCCAGGCGCTTTGCAGAACGCGTCAGGTTCACTGACCAGGGTGCATTCCATTCTATGCACGTTTCGTTTGTCTATGCACGTTGTCCCCCTCCCCCCGTCCTATAACACAGCGAAATTACGCAGGATCTTTCACGCCGCAGCGTGGGTCGTAGAACGGAGGTGAAAATACCCTAAGTACGAGGTTGGGTACGAGGTTGCGTTTTGGGAAAGATCTTTGGCGGGAGTCTTGGGTTGATCACTCCGAGGCCCACGCTTTTATACTCGTCAATCGTCATTGGCTTGTCAGCTAAACACTTTTCATACACAACGTCAAACCAACTTCAGACTTCAGCTTTAAGCATATGGCCAAGTCAGGCCAACATGTGACACATGTCCGATTTTTCGGTTCTCGGAAGCCGAATAAATCTCGGAAATAAAAAAGCATCTTGATCATGAATTTACTGATTCACTTGGTTATTTGAAAGATAACATATACTTATTACTTACAAGGGTCTTGACTTTACGTGCGTATGAAAAACGTGCATTTGATTATTATTTTATACTCGAGTAGTAGCTACATCTATGGTCTATGAAGCTCAATAAAATAGTGACCCGCCCCGAGTTAATTGTGCATTCCATGAAGCTTAGACTATAAGGGACAATGCCATCACAAAGTCATTGTCACGAATTACATCATCATGTTATCACACTTGGTGCATTTCTGCCAGTAAATTCTTGAATGCTGGAAATGTTCAAGGCTATATCAACAAGCGGTCTCAGAACAACCTGTTAAAATATATTATGAAAAAATTGTATAAGATGATGTATTCGATGGATTTTCTGGCCAGATACAAACTCACATACCGATTAAAAAAACAATGGAGAAAAAGAAATGGGATAAACGACCTGGGGACGAAAATAAGTTTACCTGTGCATCCAAAGAGTACGTCTCGGGATTTGACTCGTAACTTTCAATATAGATACGTATTGTTGCCCCTGTGCTTCCTGTTCCACTGAGACGATAAACACATCTTGATCCGTCAATAAAACAAACTCGAACACCCTGGAAAGTTTATTATTTTAGGGCAGGAATTATACGAAAAATCCATTATTATAACCTACTGTATGCCGACTTGAAATCCTTAATACTCGTTGTATACTAATTAATTAATGAAGATTTACAGTAGTGTGGACTGTGTGGTTGACAATGTAATGCAAAGGGTTGCGAAGTCGCCTGTAACTCAGCTAGAGTAACCTTTAACAGATCTGTCAAAATATCCTAATTATTCCAAAAATCATTTTGCGCTTTATGAGCAATACGGAGATTCTTCTGCAACTGCAGTACGATATATATACCTGTTGTTTAGCAACACTGCCATCTATTGGATCTTCATAATAGAAATCGTTGACACATCGCACTTCATAGGTTTTTTCACTCCCACTAACTCCACCTGTGAGCTTTTTACCAACTAAACTATCATCATCAATTCGATCACGCAATTTTTTAAACACTCGATTTGCCGCCTCTGTTTCAACCGTTTCATAGTCATATCTAGGTATCCGAGAAAATATAACTTTCGCTGATTACCATGCAAATAATTGGATCTCATATAAACGTTTCGTACCTGGTATAGAAATTGCGACCATAATTTTGCCAGTGTTCACGTACGATTTCTTCAACTGACAGGCCGCGTTCAGCAAGTATAGACAACCAAGCTTGAACAAAAAATACCAGTGGTTCCTTGATCTGCTATATATTGCAGAATTAACTCAGAGATAAGGGCAGTACACTTCAATCTAAATCTGCCTACCTAGACATGCCCATAAACCATCTTTCTCTCGGATATGGTTTGATCCAGTACCAAAACTTTCTTCACCGCAAAGTGAGATTCTATTTGCATCCAACAGATTGCCAAAAAACTTCCAGCCTGTAGATAAGTTATTATGCGCATGTTAGAGTAATGGCTAGAGCTACATCATCATCACTCATAATAAGGTACAATTTTAGGGTAAAGCCGGTGGAGATGGCGCCCAAGGGTAGAGCTAAATATATTAATTTCGTGGTTAATATAACAGGGTGTAAATGCCCTTGGGTCGAAAGTGATGATCTGATTGACCTACCCGTCGGTACTTCATATAAGTTCAATCCTAAACGCTCGGCAACCTTGTCAACAGCAGCTGATGTTGGCATACTTCGAGCAACACCAGTGGGCGGGTGTTTGACAAAATGAGGAATGCACCACATATGAGAAGCGATCACCGCTAAAGAATCCGAAGGCGTGACGAAAAAACCATTTTTACCCAGAATCATATTACGATCCTACAAAAAATAGTAAAGAACTCATTGGTATTGTACCAAATATTCATTATCTCGTCACAAGAAAGTAATAGAGATACTGAAACTGAAATCAAATAAAAAATTTACTCCATCTCCGTCGAAAGCTGCACCAAGATCATGTTCCCCTCTCTTAAGAATTTCCACCAAGTCTGCGGCATATGTTAGATTTGGATCTGGATGGTGACCTAATCAGGAAAAAAGAAAAACAAAGAATTAATCTTTCATTTTCCTATGTTGGCGGGATCAATTACCAGAAAAGTGATAATACTTTTTCCAAGAATCATGACTTCATCCTTACTAGTTTTATATTCCGTTTTATTTTTTTCCAAAACAATTTTTTGTTTTGGCCATGGCCATGTAAAACTTTTTTTTAGAGAAAATAAATCTCGCTTTCATTGAACATGGCACACCTTTATATATGTCTCACCTCCGAAATCTTCTTTTGGAACATTGTTAATCATTGACGCCTCCGGTGCTCCTAGTTCATCCACAAATATTCTTTTAATATATGGTCCAGTGACTAAGAATTAAACAGAACGTGTTGGCAGCTACTACAGCGTACACACTGTAGGTGCATTAAATATGTATGTATGCATATAAAATAAAGTCTACGAAATTACGTTTTTCCTTAGCAATGTACAGGTATACTGGATTTTTTTCATACACGCCGATATATGTACTACAACAGTTTTCAAATGAAACTGCAGCTGGACAATTATTCACAAATGCGTGCGTTTAAATGGCCCAAGGGATGAGAGAAGATGTCTTTGTTAGCTTTAGGCACACCTCGCAGGTCAACCACGGATTGGGTATTGTCTACTTCAGGCCTTTGAAAATTGTAGATAAACCCATGATTCACGCAAGTTATACAGAACATACCTCCGTGCATGGCATTTAGAATAATTTGTGGTGCTCTTTCGCCGGTCAAAAATTGTTTTAGTTTAACAAAATCGAAGACTTCTTTCATTAACTCCATGTACTCTGAGACAGAATCTACAACTTCTACTGAGAATTTCTTTCCATTTTCTATCATCCATTCTTGTTTGCCAATAGATTTGAGATCCAATGTTATTTTGTCACAAATATTGTATGACGTTATTTTTTTTGATAGTTCAAAAATATGATCGGTTATCGATTCTGGAGATGGAGCTAGATAAAACAAAATTAGTTATTTAGTTCATTAGAATTTGCTTGATTTATATATGATTAATGCATACAAGTTTAAGCGAATTTAAATTGATTGTCCGACTGTTTGCGAGTATCATTTTATTTCTAATATTAGACCACGGTTAGGTGATTATCCCCACGCACTTCGCTCAGTGTCCTTACTATGACTGGGCGAACCTACCCCCCTCCCCACCTAAAGGGGGCTCCATGTCCAGGCTGTTCAGTCATGGAAGGGGTATATATCCTTATTACGTTGTTATATGGTTATTGGTTATCGACTTACAGAAAGATGAAAGAATATTTTAAATAGGCCGTCTATTTGGGCAGTCATTCGGGTTTACTATAATAACTGCATTTCTCCGGAAAATTTGAGTACCTCCATTTGCAGTGTTGAATTTAATACCAAAATCTCCACTGATCCCACCAGGGTTATGACTTGCTGACAGGACAATTCCAGCTGAAGTAGTAAATAAAAGACTAATCACCATTATTTGAATACTACACAAGCTATCTTGTATCATGGTGACATTAAAACAATATTTCAATCGTGTATGCTTCTGCATGTATGCGTAATGAATAATGATTGCATGATTATGACAAACCCAGTTCCTTTAGGCCAAAATTCTTGTATGATGTCTCATATATTCTGATCCTATATCTATATGCAACATCAGTGTGACATTGACTTTTGCAACTGTGTGGAAATTTTAAATCATTTCATTTGTAGCTACCTTGAGCTGATCTTTTTCTGATAATACAAGACACTGCTGGCGTTGAAAATATTCCATGTTGGCCAACTACCAAGGAGCCCACCTGGATTGAAAGATAGTAAAAACAGTAAACATAAAGAAAACAACAAGAAACCGCGGGGATATCATTTATCACTTGATGAAAAATTTTCCCACGCTATGCATGCTTGGTTTCACAAACATGCTTTCATTCCTACACAATGTTTCTGACATCTCCTTCATTTTGTTTAAATTTATACCTTGACAGTTTTTATCCATTTACATAGATTGTTTTTATTTTTTATGTAATGAATAAAAGCAGCTGCCACATACAAAAGAAAAAAGTTTTAATTTTAATGCCAAATTAATTGGTATGTTTTCCAAGGTTTCATACTGTGCCATTGGACCACTCCACTTGGAATAAATATGACATTTCAAACATACCAGCTTTTGCATAGAACATGTATGTGTGAAACCAAGCATTAATTCCAATAAGAAAACTCTAGATGTATTTAAACCACACTTCCTATTTTTAAACTAGCAGTAACACTGTCATTGTCAAATGTCAGTGCCTATAGCAGTTTCGCTTAAGATTGTGTAGGGCTGGGTTATTTTTTAGTGGGATTCATCATTAATAATAGCAGTAAAAATTTGGCAATTTATTATCCTGGGCTTTTGACTGTATAATGGTCAGTTGTCAAAAATATGTCAAAAATAAAACATAACACCTATGAAGTTATGTAATATTGTAAATACATATTATAACTTTTGAACTGTACCGAAATGAACTTAGAAAATAGCGAAAATATTCATAATATCGCATCTAAAGGCAATTAATTATAAATATTCAGTGTGGGAGCATTGGCTTCAGTCACGGCGTGCGGAAGCATAAAAAGCCAACAAGATGACCCCGAAATTCGTAATATTATTACTGCTATTGTAAAAATAAAGTCGAAGAAACACAATATTAGCGTCTATTACATCGTTACCGATGATTATAAGCTTTCTGTCAGTAATTTTTAGCTTGTTGTCGGTTGTTGACGGTTGTTGTTGGTTTAGTAGGACCCGCACGTAGTAAGGTTTTCAAAATAAGGTACATTTAAAAATGTAAACAGCTCAGAACTTACTCCATTAGCCGCAGCAATTCTAGCAATAATCTGAATAGCATCCTTCATGTAGTAACGTCCATCACCGCCGACTATAATTACACAACCTTCCCTCTGTTCTTCTGGGATTGAATCGAAGATACACTGTATGAAGTTCTCGGTGTAATTGGGTTGTTTAAATACTTCAACTTTCCGTCTTAAACCAGAACTGCCAGGCTTTTGATCATCGTATGGAGATGATTGAACTTTTTTAATTTTAACACTTGCCATCATTTGTTGACTGCTTTACTTTCAAAGTGCCGGTGAATTTCACCACACACTGACATAGGACAATAGGTACAATAGGACTGTATATAGAGACCACTGAGCTATAATTTTGCCTCTAGAATTCCTCAGTTTTCCCATGAACGTTAGTAATATCTTATAAAATTTTGAAAAAAAAACAAAAAAAGAATTTAAAAAAGAAATCAAGAAGATATAAGTCGAGCAAGAAGATATCACTCTGTTCCTCTGTTCCCATCAAGCCTTGCTTGCGACACAGTAATAAGCTGATTGGATTTTCGAACTTTAATTGAATTGAATTTTTATATATTTTGAAAAAGTTTAATTTTATTTTTCTAATCGATTCTGAATTGTTTTTTTTAGTAAAAATTCGTATGATAGCTGTCACCAATCACTGAAAGTAATAGTCATTAATGGATACAGGATGATACCGAGGGTCATAAAAATTAAAAACAAAAAAGATTCAGGTGATCAGAATATCAGAATATCATCTGACAGATCCTGATTCCCAGATGTAGGCAGAAGTAACCAGTAGATTACAGACTTTTCCAGTGATGCAAATCATTCCTTGCGTTTTTGTAATCACCTAGCAATTTTAATGCAAAACCATCAATCATGAGTCAAAAGCTTCGTATTAATGTTCATGTGAATCCATCCGAAGTGTTCGAAACCGATCAAAATATTTTACTTAATGTTCAGAATGATACAAGGTACGTTTTGGTTGTGGAATGATTGGTCATATGACGTTGTCAGTGTCGCAGCTGTTTTGTAGTAAATGTATTTTTTTAATGTTGGATGTACGCTGTGTAAACACTTTAAACTTTTCCTTTGAAATTAAATTCGTTGGAGCTAAGTAAAGCTGTTCTTTTACTTTATTTTATGGCTGTATTTATTTACTATTATTTACGTAATTGAATCTAAACAACTCCTTATCTGATTTGTATGTAGGTGCATTAAACATAGTGCATCTTATCATTCTAATGATTAATTATTTAAACATCTTCTACATTTAGTTGGTCTGATGTGTGTGGATTAATCAAAGAAAAAGTGAACAATTTCTTCACCACATCACTTGCATTCCAATACTTGGATGAAGATTCTGATTATATTTCTGTAAGATACAATTAACATTTTACTTCATAAGACAATATTAACATTTTACTTTGTAAGACAATATTAACATAGGACAATGTGTATGCATTTTTGCTTAATGGGAAATATTTAAATTAGGGATGTACTGAAGATGAATGGAAAGAGGCAATAGCAGCTTGTAGTACAAGGTCGAGAGATGAGTTGATATTACACATCAAAGCAGTTCCCACTGAAAATGTTGCAAAACAAACAGAGGGTATCAAACCTTTATGTTGCTTCAGGTATGTATGCCTTTGTAGTTTTGACATGTTTCACAAATAAACTTAATCATGATTCCAAGCTGATTGAATATACCTTCTCTAGTGACCCTTGGTGTTGTTATGAGAGACCAATGCCTGATAATCAGATTATTGATGGACCTGTTCCAGAAAGAAAGTGAGTGATTATGTTGTGTATGAATGTTTTAATGTCAGTGTGAAAAATGCTTTCTTAATTTAACAAGACATTGTGAGATTTAATTGATCACAGGAGACAGTCTTTATAGTTGAAAATTTATATTCCTTCATTTTACAATAACAGAGTGAATCCCCAAAGTTCTTCCTACAAATATGCTGATGAGGCACTTAGAGCTGTTACTCTTCCACTTGGACCAATAGGTAACTTGTTCATTTGTAAGAAATGAAATAGCATTGCCTAATGATTTATTACCTGATGCACATGCATTAGGTAGCTGGTGCATGTGCTTCATTAATTAGCATCAAAAGCTCATATTTATATCACACAAAACAATTTTGAATAATTATAACACATGAAAATTCACTATCTTTTGGTCTAATTTGTATAGGAGGTGGAAGTATTGCCTTAGCAGGAGATGGAGGATTGCGTCAATGGCAAGTAGTCAATGAAGTTTGTCACCTCGCTCATGTTCCTGACTCCTTTTTTGCAATCAAGTATGAACTATGTATAATTTCTTGGTTTTATATGTTTTTATATGTATTTATATGGTTCTAATGAAGTATTTTTTCACACATTATCATTTGCACTCATATTTGATCATATTTTACTAATTAGTTTATTACGTTTATTAGTATAATAAGTTTTGAGAACTAAGTATACCTTAACCTTGTACCAAGGGTTGTACCTTGTACGAAGAGGAAAAACCCTGGGTTTGAGGTTGGGTATAGGTACCTTTATTGTTTTCAACTTAAATTCACCTTCACTAAAATTAACCTCATGTTTTCCTCTCGATCCATTCGAAGTGATCCTAAGTTGTAAACAGTCTACTTTTAATGTACTATTTGATCAAGATTTTAATTGTATAATTATACAGTGTAAGTGTATACATTCACTAAAAGAGTACATACCAATACTTATATTGAGCCAAACACTCTTAATAAACAGAGTTGAGGATGAATCCACTAATGCTGCAAACTCTGTAGTTCTTCAATCAAACACGTGGTACGATGAATCTGGCTTTCATCCTGCACAAATTGTGCAAGATCATGGTAAGACTACACAAACCCATACTTTATACATGTTAGAGAAACGTCAGGGGTTTTTTGTGGTAAGCGTACGGACATCGGACTTGCTGTTTAAGCAAAACAGGCCTCGCAAAACCGCCTCCAGGTTGAACATTGCGTAAAAAGTTAAATTGTCATGACGCCTTGTTGCCTTGTTGTATATACAGTGTATACAAACCTCTGGAACCTACGACAGTTGCTAATAATAATTGATAATTTGCTTGCGGGAAATTTTAGATCTTGTAACCAGGTGTTTCACATTCATTTTTTTGACATTGTAGTTGTACCAGAGGCGTCCAAGGAGCTCCTGGAAACACTTCCTGGTGTAAAAACAATTGAAGTGACAGCTAAATATCCGATTGCTGAAGGTAAGCAATGAAATTACTGTTTCACAATTAAAGTATGTACACCTAGTACCTAAGTCTTATTAATATAAAAAATTTATGTTTGTCACACGAACAATATGATTACGTTATTTCTAGTTGACGTAACAAGCACTGAGGTTCCTGTCCAGGTTCATCTTGAAGCATTCAATCCTTGTATTCCATTGAATGCAAATGACAGCGCTATACCTATGATCATTTTCAACTACACTGTCACCAATCCGTCCGATAAGCCAGTGAAAGTAAGGAAGTATTGTGAGAAGATTGATTAGTCGGCGCATCTTGCATCTCAATACCAACCTTATTAATAGGACGTAGGAGAAAACTCTTAATTTTGAATAAAACTCCTAAACTTTCGATAAGAACACTCTTAAAAAAATACATATAAGGCCCGTTTCAGACGTCTAACTTTTCATGTGCCGAATCGAATGCAAATGAACTTGAACAATTACTTTATTTAGCTCATTAACATTAGGTTCGGCACATGAAATGTTCGACGTCTGAAACAGGCCTAACCCTCACACAGACATACGTGCGTAATCCAGATTTCTTCTCCTGGTTGTATTGTTTAACAGGTGACAATGTTGAGTTCCCTTTTAAATTTCATTGGCTGGGATGGTCTGAAAACCATTGAAACTGGTTTGTACATATTAATAGAATAGATCTGTATGTGATTTTTTATGTGTATACATTGTAGGCACGCTATAGAAATATATAATCTATATATAGGAAGTATGAGCTATATAGATGTTTTCAGCAAAGGCCATAGCTTGCAGCCTTGCTGGGTAATGTAAGATAAAGTATGTAAATTAAGTGAATCTTTTCAACAGACAACCAAAAATTGCTTGCGTGTAAAATTTGAATACTTGGAATTCTGAGTGCGTCAGTATAGATGAATTGTTAGGTTTTGTATTGCTGTTTAAAATTTCGGAAAATTTTCCCAGGCCTGCATGAAGGCCCTTATTTCATTTGCGTTTGATTACAAATTTAGTACACATGCAGTATATTTTTTTTACTCTCTCAAATATCGTGTACTTCATCTTGTAGATAATATGCCAAACACTCCAGGCGGGAATCAAAACACTCTGTACACTTTTGGAGGAAACATAAACACCGCTGAGGTTCCTGAATATAAAGGAATAAGGTTGTGTAAAAGTATAAAAAATACTTTGCTTTTGCCGTGTGAATTGCATGGCGAAAACATAAATTAAATGTGCTTTTTGCTGTTTTAGCGGATACTATGGTATTTACATGAACAACACTAAAATGGACGATAGACCCGGAACTAATGGAGAATTATCTATTGGAGGTCAGTGAATAAGTGTTTTCTAAGTTTTTAATCTGTCGTGTTTGTATTTCATCTAAACATCAGAGTCTAAGCTTCATGTTATGACTAAAACTTTTAGTTTAGACTGAAAGGCAATGACGAGAAAATGGACTCTTTTTTTAAAGCACCATGCACAGTCAATGTTTTTACATCAAATATGCAACGAAGAAGCTGGACGGAAATTCCGCCAACGCGAAGCTTAAACTCACTTCGCATTCAGACTCAGCTCTTTTGTACACCTTTGTTTAAATGCCACGCACGCATTGTTTGTGCACTGAAATGAACGTTTCAACAATTGAGAGTTGATATATAATTCTTCCGATAAAAGATGTTGCCTGTCTACCCTCAGTTAGCGGACTGTCGCACGTTGACGATGAACTTCAAAAGAGCAACAGTTTTTTCAAATTGGTCCAGTTTGTTTTAAGCTGTCAGTGCCCCTCAGTGGAACGTGTTTTTTTTTATAATTTTTAGTGTTCCATAAAGATGAAGATGTCAAGTCGTGTCTGTTGCAATTTACTGATGTGAAGGGAATGTGGGAGGATTTCACGTCACCAACTGGACTGTCAGGACAAGGGCAAATGGGACCATCTGACGTGAGATATTTATTTTATATATAAAATAAGATATATATAAGCGCCCCGATTTATACCGAGCTGTACCTTGCCTGTTATCAAAAAATCAAGGTGGGTCTTTGCTCAAAGCATCAAGTTTTACATTAATTAGTCACCTCGCCTCACCAAAT